AGTGACTCCACTAAAGCTTCCTCTCTCATTAGCCGTGACCCAAAGCACCACACGGGTTGGTTACCGCATCTTGCACAAGGGTTGCTCACGTTTTCAGGGTGCTGTAACCGCATACCCTAAAAATAAAATTAATTTAAATTAAAAACAAAAAAGAAGAAATAAACAAAATTAAATAGTAAATAAAATAAATTAAACTTAAAAAAAAAGAAATAAATAATAATAAAGTAAAATAAATATATTAAAATAAAATAGAGGAAAGAAATAAACCAAAAAAAAAATATAAATTAAATAAAACGATAGAAAATATGAAACAGAATTAAATAAACAAAAACAAAACAAAGTTTAAAAAATCAAATAATATAAAGTAGAATATAAAAAATACATTAAAATAAAATAAAATAAAATAAATTAAAAACAAAATTTAATTAAGTATACTACAAAAACTAAAACAAAAAAATGAAATAAAACACAAAGAAATAAATGAAAACAATATAAAATAAAGTCATTTAAATATGGAATAACAATTGGAACAAAGAAATAGGATTTAACAAACGAAAATAGAATGCAATTTAAATAATTAACTAAAAAAATAAAAAATATAAAATAAAAAATAATACACAAAGTAAATAAAATAAGGGAATTTAAAATAAAATAAAAATATATTAAAATTAAATTAGAAAATGAATTTTTGAAGCTATTCAAAAGTGTAGGAAATTTAAAAAATACAGAAGCAACGAAAAGATATTTTCGTTTTCAAGAAAATTAAGTTTTTTGTCATATAGTTCCAATCAAAGCAGTGATTCTCGGTAATCAGAGATCCTGATAAAATAATTTAATTGCATCGAAACGTTAAATAAAATTATGTTGAAGATACACTTGAAAACTGTTCATTTTATATTTTTATTCAAAGATATTACGACTTATCAGGAATCAGGCCCTATCCACCTCACAAATCGCTGAGATACTAGTGGCCAGCAAAGTTTTTCATTACGTAGACACTTCCAAAGCCACTCTCTCCCTTATCATAATTAATAAGTGGAACGAATCACTGGTTTTCAAGATTTATTCAATACAAATCATAATTATTCAGTGCCGCGTGTTGATATATTATATATTATTTAGTATGCCACACCGGTGTGCTCCCGAATCCACTCCAAGTAGCTGGTGACACGGGTAAAAGCAGCTGGTTTGCCAATTTCACAGCCATCCTTGGCACCGTAGGATGTTAAACCAATCTGGACCTTAGATGATTCCAAAACCAATGGGCCACCGGAATCACCTTGGCAAGTAGAGATGGCATCAGGTGTTGCTACACAAATGGTCGAATCCTTCACAGATGCTGAACTATATGTCTTCTTGCATACAGAATTGGAAATGACTTTCAAAACGGCAAACATCAGATCATTCGAAACAGCTTTGCTGGAATCCGAGGTGAGACCCCAACCAGAAGCGACAACACTATCACCGTCGAACGTTGAATAGGAGCGCGCGATAGCAGGCAATTTAACGATGCTGATTCTACTTGTGAGGGAAGTGTGTGGTATGCGAATGACGGATATATCGTTTACGAGCGTTTTGCTGTTATAACCCGAGTGAATGATGGCGCTATCACCGGACACTGTATGTTTAACTTCTGCATTAGTGCGCACGGTTGCCCCCAAATAAACGGTGATTTCGAGAATACTATTTGGAGAAAATAAAATAAATAATTTATACACGCAGATCACAGAAATTGTTTCTTGATATCGTTAAAAAAATTCAATTCAAAAAGAACTTACTCTTTAGTGCAGTGAGCAGCAGTTCATACCCATTCAGAGGAAATCAAAGAACCACCTCACCACGAGGAGCTGAAGCGGCTTTTCTTCAATGAAAGTCCAACCTGGTAGGTGAATTGGCCAGCTGCAGCTCGTTGACCATTGGTAATACGTCCATCAAGACCATCAGCCTTGACCAGCACTGGGCTGGCGATGCTGTAGTCGAAAGTGGTCGCAATGCACAGTGCGAGTATGATCAGACACTTCATATTTCCGGAAACACTGCGAATTTATTAATGTCACAATCTAAGCAGCTCTCGCTTTTATATATTTTCAAGTTCTTAGAGTCATTGTGTTGTTGTTTTTGTCCTATCTATCAATACTTCAAGTGGTAAATATCAGTTACTCCAAAAAAAAAAAAAAATTAAATTATAAATACATGCGATCGATAATATTTTTGCTTAGAGCATATACATATAGATATGCACACGTACCTAAATAAGCGTTCAATGTTGCTGTGTATTCCCCCCCCCCCNGGGTAGATGCCTGTGTAAAGCTGCACCCCCCCCCTAGCCAAACTGAAGGAGATGAATTGGGAAATCATTCTGCAACCCCCCCCCCCCCCCCATTTCCCGGTTCAGGATTTTTGCATTACACTCTTAAAAGGAACTTAAATTGGAATCATATGGGCAGCTCTTTCATCAACTCAATGCAAAGCCCTGGATACTGTTGAAAATTTTCAATACTTTTCTGTTCATGTCTGTACGACAAACGTCCAGTATATAGGACTATTAAGGCATCATTCTAAACTTATTCTCCATCAACAGAACAGGTGAGCAATTAATGTGGCTCTCCATGAAAAGAATAATATAAGACTCCATGTATTTTTGTCGCAGCCGCAGAACGAGAAAGAGGAAAAATCTGTCGTACACTACGTCTGTCGTTGTTTAGTCTTAATCTTCATACGACAAAACTGCCTTTTTGGAGCTTTTCCACCGATTTATGGTGTGGCTTTATGTTCTTCCTACTAATGGAGTCAATGTGGAATGGTTGATGGATTTTCATGAGAATATCCTTTAACATGCTAGGGAACGTTGAACCATCCCAATGCCTGAAATAAAAGCTCCTCATTAAAAAACGAAAGCATCAGCCGTTTGGGGGCGCCTTGGAATAAACTGTAAATTGGAAGTTGGAGAAGAGCTCGGCCGAACACTTATTCAGCGTATACCAAGCGCCAAATATGTATATTCCATTGCATGTTAGATTGACTAACGCGGTCGCCATTTCGGCTTCTTAGCGAAGAATATACTGTATCAATTAGTCTTTATGGAATTTCTTTGATAAAAGTGCCTAAAAGTAGACATCTTTAATAAAATTTTAAAAGTGTGTGAAAGAGTTGTGTGAGTGTAAACAGATTTTTATACCCACCGTGCCGCATACTTGGGGTGTAAAAACTTTGTCCTGCTAACCATTGGCACATATATACACAAATTACAACTACTGCAAATACTGTTAATAGAAATCTCATTCAAACACAGGAAGTAATGATGATGATGTGGACTGAAGTTTTGTCTGCTACACTCACATTTCTTTTACCCTCGAGCCAAGACTTCAAAGTGGTTCGTTACCGCATCGCGCACCAGAATTGCTCACGATTCCATCTTTGAAAGTACGAGTGTACCTGCATTTCTCGAAGCAGTGCTGCATTCCATTACACTTAGCATTTGCGCAGTCTGGGTAAAATACCGAGATTTGAAGACGAAATCGAGGCGTATTTGCAAACAAATGTGGAGAAACCGGTATACATGGGTAAGTAGCGCTTGAGAAGTTGTTCGACTGGTGACAGAAGATTTCAAGACCGTAGCATAATCTGGTAGGATGTAGCGACCAATTCCCAGAATGATAAAGCGTCGTGAGTTGATGGTTTACTGGCTAAACTGACAAGGTAAACGCAACAGCTTCTTTGAGAAGTTTGCTCCGATGAGTACATGTCTGACGTTAGAGCATATGAGTGGAAAAAAGGGATCCCATGCTCTGCGTCAATCACAGTGGGATTAGCCTCATAAGGTCTAAACAAATCTATAGCGTGAACCTTCGAACGAACCTTCCTCGAAATGACTATACCTTACCAGTGTGGCTAAACACCACCACCACAACCACCAAATCCGACATTGAGCAGATAATCACCATGCGTAAAATCTTAAAAATAACCATGAAAAGAGGATCAACACAAGCCACCTCTTCATCGACTTTAAAGCGACCTTCGGCTACATAAAAAGTAGCTACCTCGTGGCCGTTATGTCTGAAATATTAAACGACTGTGTAGACTGACGTTGAGCAAGATCAAAAACCCACATCCAAATTAGGACCTTTCCTAGTTGTTCGATACAAAATTATGTTTCAGTCAGGCTGACTTCTAGCTTCTTTAGTTTATGCTGAAGAAAATAATACGAACTGCAGAGCTACAGAGCGTACAACCGCTCGCCCTCATGAAGCATACAATCAGCGCTTTTTGTTTGCTCACAAAAGCTTTGAAGTCTTTGATAAGTTCATCATTCTTAAAACTAGCAACAAACCATCTTGAAATCAAACCACAATCAGTCTCTTGCGTGCTATGACACCGGACCTGAACGACGACAGCGTTGGATGGGTTGGTAGTAGGAATTTTCCAGAGAAGTGTTTTGAGGAAGATTTATAGCTATTTGCGCATTGATGAGGCAATAAACTGTAGAATTTATTCAATTAAGTCATAAAATTTACGACGCCTATGCTGGCTATGCCATGTCGCCCGAAACGATGAAACCATTACAGCCTTACAAGTATCGTCCGAATACTGCTCAATCATCAAACATATATATTTTGTAACTATGATCTAATTCACGGCAATGTACATTCAAGCGCCTACAGGTATGCAACGAATTATAGCCGTTCAATCGAGCCAATAGTTTTTCTGTATGCAAAAGACCACCAATTTTTGGACTATAATACAGAGGCATGTACACAAATACACGAATGATCACAACACTTTTGCTTGTGGTTAGTTTGGTTTGGGGAAGAGTACACATATATACGTATTAAATAATATAAAAAACCATGTATATGTATATATGTGAATTGAAAAATGGTCAAGGATTTTTCACTCTAAAAAATAATTTTTATTTTCATGAATAAAAACAACCATTTTATGCGTGTCAATAATATTTCAGTACATAATATATGTATATAATCAACAACTCGTGATGTGTTTTAGTATTCAACACCGGTGTGCTCCTTAATCCAATCCAAATAGCTGCTAACACGTGTGAATGCAGCTGGGAAGCCCAACTCACAGCCTTCAATAGCACCGTAGGAAGTTACACCGATTAGAATCTTGGATGATTCCAAAACCAATGGACCACCAGAATCACCCTCACAGGTAGAAGAGCCATTTGGTGTTGCAACGCAAATATTTGTTGAGGTAACTGAACTACCATAGCTCTTGGCGCAATCTTCATTAGAAATCACTTCCAAAATGGTGTACATCAGATCATTGGAAACAGTGCTACTAGAATCGGAGGTGAAACCCCAGCCAGAAGCAATAGCACTTTCACCCGTATACAATGACTGTGTACCGGTCAGCGATGGTATTCTCACTCTATTAATTCTGCCAGTGAAAGACGTGAACGGGATTCGAATGAGAGCGATATCATTAACCACTGCCTTGGAGTCCCAACCCTCGTGAATGATGACATTATCTTGGGTTACGCTATACCTGATATATGGGGAAAGACGTACAGTTGCGCCTAGGTATACAAGGATTTCTGGAATGCTGTACGCAAAAGGATACAGAAGATTTTAATTTTTTTATTAAGATAATTTTTTAAACTTATACTTATTACTTACCCATCGGTGCAGTGAGCAGCGGTCAAAACCCACATAGTCGAGATCAAGGATCCACCACACCATAAAGCGGTAGAACTGTCCTTCCTCAACGAAAGTCCAACCTGATAGGGAAATTGACGCTCTGCTGCCTTTTCGCCGCCGGTAATACGCCCATTGGGTCCATCTGTATCAGCCAAAACTGGATTGGCTACGCTATAGGCCGAAGCGACCGCAAAGAAAAGCGCGAAAATGATCAGACACTTCATATTCCCCGAACAACCGTTAAATGATTAACCTTACGCCAAAAAGTAATACGGTTTTTATACTTTGTCCCAACGTGAAACGAAAATAGCTGTTAGTGTGTTTATCAACTTGCATCGAAAACTTCAAGTGGCCAAGTGTAACTGTTAGAGAGATATAAAGACGTCAATTAAACTTTTGAGATTTTTCAGACAATAATACGATTAGGTCCGGTGGCCGCCGCTAAATACTCTTTTTACGATCACCAATCGGCGGGGAATGTCAACCCCTCCCAGAGAGTATATAAATATCAGAATCATAAAGTGCAGGAGGAGCTTCAGCGGTTTGAATTGACGCCTTCACACGCGCTTTTCAAGGAGACGTTAAATATCATAGTCGGGATTTTATGTTAAAGGAAATATTTTATTTTAGAAACACCGTCGCTAGCTGAAATCTATTCCGCAAAATTCCTAGTACAAAGTCATTTCGAATAAACAAACATACGAGATTTTGTATGAACGGTACATTTTCTTAATTTCAAAGTAAAAAAAAAATAACTTAATTAAACCATCTGTTATCTTATATCATAAAAACAGGAGCAACTAAGAACTATCCAAAACTTAATATTTTTTGATTACGTTCGACCGATAAGAAACATTGATAATTGAATTTATTTCAAAAAAGTTAAAAAATAAAAAAAAGCTGTCAATTCTACTTATCAAGTTTAAGGCGTTTCAAGCTGATATATTGCCTAACCTGATAAGCGGTTATGCTCGGTGTGCTCGTACTCGTATGTGTGAGAGTGCTAACTGTGAGAGAAATAGCATTTCAGAGCGGAAAGTGTAAACAAATTTTAGTACCAAAACCAAAATCAGTGCTCTTAATAAAGAATAAAGATGCACAAGCCAAATAAATTGATTACCAAAAGCCAAAGAACGGTAGGAACAGTAGAAACGTTTTAAGAAAAGTATCGATTGTTAATCGATTGTTTTAAATGCAGTCTTAGTTATACGGAATGATGTAGCTTCAAGGAAAAATACTCCGAGATATATCGTCTTATGAGATTATTCAATGAAAAACGAGGTTATGTTCAAAGTTTCCGAGACTTTATTTTACTTTAATCTTCCTAAAAACAATACGACAAAAAAACACAAAAATTTAATACCAATTATTTAACGATATTTTTTTAATATTTTTTTCTGTTTTCACAAAAAACAGCAGCCTCCGTTTTGTAATACTCTGAGGGTGAACTTCTAAAATTAATCGACCCAATAGTACCTGCATTAGCTTAACAATATATAATTATAAAAAAAAAATTATAGAAAATTAATTTAAATAAATAGTAGATTTTTCTAGGTGCGGCGCCACACAAAAATCCCTCATCCAATCAGCGGCACTATAAAATGAACTGTAGGTCCCTCCATTTATTGGAAAATTAGAGGAAGTGCTGGTACGAAAATCGCTTCAATGATCACTAAGCGCCAATTATGTAATCGAGCGCATAAACGCAGCCACTAATTTTTCCCACAGAAGCTACCACCGCTAGCTATTTCGTTCGAAAATTTTAGAGCAATGCGAGCATTAGAGCATTTGTCCATTGTGCATTGTTTTTCGAAAATGTTGGAGTACGAGCTCGAGTAATCCAATGATTTTGAAGAAATTTTCTATTTTTTCCTGAAAATTTTTCCATATAAATTTCAATTTATTTATGCAAAGTGTAAAAATCGTTGTGTTGCTAAAAAAATTTTATAAACAAAATTGAAAATTAAGTAGCTGAGCAGTGAATGGGTATCGAGCGAGTATCAGAGGTCTAGAAAATATCCGGTTCTAAGATCCGTCGATTCAGAAGCTATTGCTTATAAGAAATATTTTTGAGTTCAACTGTGAAAAAATAAGTTTTAGTTCATATTTGAGAGAATCGATTGCCCTATGTGAATCTCCATTTTCAGTTTCAACATTTAATGTGTTGCTTGTGTGCCTAGTGCAAAGTTTCATGGTGAATTTCAAAACAATCTGAACTTGAAAAGGTACTACATACTCAAACATACAGATACACAGGTATCTCTCCTCTGTTTGAGCCAATTTTATTTGCACTCAAGTTCAAATACCCATTCAGGTTCATGAAGGGTATATAAAATTGCACAAAACCCTAAACAGATTGGAAGTAAGTTTGGCATACATATTGTACTTAACAGTGTGAGTAAAAATTTCAGGGACCACGATCACTCTTGGTTTACGGTTTTTTTAAGTTCATACATTCATTCATGTAAAATTCTTTTGAAAAATAACTAAATTTAAATCAAGCCATACACATCTTAAGCCTTTGAGACCACTGCCTGGTAGTAAGAAGACTAATGTTTTTCCATTGACAGAGCACAATTCAGCACAAATAAATAAAAATTAGTATGAAAAAGGAAGCCATTCGATATTTAAAGTTGTACAAATTCATGCTGCCAACAAATGTAAAGTGCAAAATTTATCAAATATACGAAAATTCCGAATTCTCAAATATTGACTGATATGTCAAAAAGGATTTATGACCATATAGATTTAAATATTATTAAATAACATACCGTCACCCGATATTTACGTATCTTAGAACGCTATCTAGAAAAATAAAGCGTATTGAATTATAACTTCTAAATTATTTGATATCAATGCGATACTCGATTCGTCAGGCAATTTTACTATAAAAGCGATGGACTGCAGCACCAAAGTTATCATAAGCTCTTCAGTGTTTCACCATGAAGTTCCTAGTTGTTTTCGCTTTGTTTTTGGCTACCGCCTGCGCTTCACCAGCGCTCGTTCAACGTCAGCGCTTCATGCCTGTGTTGGCTGACACCGCCGAAGGACGTATTACCAATGGCCAAGCCGCTTCTGTTGGTCAATTCCCCTATCAAGTTGGTCTATCATTGAAATTGAGCGCTCTGTCGTCAGCTTGGTGCGGTGGTTCTTTGATCGGCACCAACTGGGTACTTACTGCTGCTCACTGTACCGATGGGTAAGTTCTTGCAAATATCGCTTTTCTTTACTCGCTTCTAACCTATATATATATATACATTTGGCGTTTTTTTCTAACCCTTTTAACCCTTTCTATAACTTACTCAAACATTTATTTTACATTTTTTGCACAGCGTTCAATCCGTTACTGTCTACTTGGGCGCCACTGTCCGCACATCCGCTGAGTTGCAATACACCGTGTCAAGCAGCAACATCATCATCCACTCTGGCTGGAACTCCAACACTCTGAAAAACGATATCTCCCTCATCAAGATCCCATCTGTTTCCTACACCACCAGAGTACAAGCCGTGAAATTGCCCTCAATCTCTAGCTCTTACTCAACATATGTTGGAGAAACCGCCATTGCTTCCGGTTGGGGAAAAATTAGCGACTCCGCCACTAGTGTAACCAACCAATTGCAATACGCTGATGTACCCATTGTTGCCAACTCTGTGTGCGTCAAGACCTACGGCAGCTCATCAGTGCCTTCCACTGTTATCTGCATCTCAACCACTGGCGGTATTTCTACTTGCAACGGTGACTCTGGCGGTCCATTGGTGTTGAAATCGACTGGTGTACAAATCGGTTTGACTTCTTATGGTGCCAGTGCTGGCTGTGCTAAGGGTTACCCAGCTGTATTCACCCGCGTCACCAGCTACTTGGACTGGATTTCGACAAACACCGGCATCTCTTATTAAATGGTTTTGAAATTGTATGAATATATGATTAAATAAATGATGATTTGAACTAAAATTTTATTTTATTTATAATTTTAAAATTTATTTCAATAACTATGTAAGTCAATTGTGTTTTGAGTTGTGGGTTCACATATGCTTGGGATGAATTAACGCAGTCAAAAGAGAATGCGATTGTTATTCCAAGAAATATAATTGATTTAGTCCAACTGTATATGAAAAATTTATTAATTTGTCGATTTGTTTGATGTCTGGAGTGTATGTATGTAGATAGCTCTCTGACGAGACTAAAATCTGGAAAACATTACTTCTTTTTCTATATAAAGGGTTTTCCAATAGAGATGATATGCTCTAAATGTCATTTTGTCTATTTTTAATATGTCCTAATCTGTCATATTTTCATTTTATGTACTCAGTAATGTTTACATGTTTACATCGTGGCAAGATATACGCAAGAACAACCATTACATTTACCTAAATCGATAGTTTGGTGTGGTTTTTGGTCTGGTGGAATCATCGGTCCGTACTTCATTCGAAATGAAGAAGTTGATCTTAACAACAAGTGGTTCCAAACACTTGTAACAACCGAACTATCGTGGGGAAGGTTTAGAGATTCGATTATTTCAAGAAATACTGACATTGAATGGCCTCCTAGACTTAACAATATTAGACTACTTCTTGCGGGTTATTTGAAGTCATTGGCCTCTAGTAACAAACCATACTCTCTTCAAGCTTTACAAGTCAATATTGAACTTAATTTAGTAGAAAAAGTGCTCAAAACTTAGTTTCATCGAATTCGTTCCTGCAAGAGAAGTCGTGGAAGCCATTTGATTGATTTTATATTCAGAATTTAATTGTATCGATTGTACTTCGTATTAAATAAAAAAAACATTAGAACTTCCTTAACAGTCAGTCTATTGTTTTTTTTTTTAAGAAATGATATCACTCTTATTGGAAACCCCTATATTTTAAAACATAAAACCCTAATAAAATTCGTATTAGAACCAGTTGTATTTTTTGAAAGGATATCTCTTCGATTGTTTGTATAATTTTTGTTTAACATCGCCTAATACACCAAAGGTCAGTCATATAGATCTAGATCTGATGAAGGTTCAAACTGATCCGACTTTTTATAGCCGACATACAAATAAGACGACAATAATCTGCTAAATTATTTTAAATATTTGTTTCAATTTATACTAACATCTACCTAGCTACGTGGTTTATGGGCGCTCTCTTAGTTGAGAACTAAATAATAATCATTCTCAGTTGCTCCATTTCTATGATCAGTATGTTATTATTCAGTTTTTGAAGAAGACTGACAAAAGGAAGGTTTTGATGCCGTCAGAAGTGGTTGTAGAACCTTCCAACCCGGTAATATTATGTTCATACAGGTACCAGAGGGCCAATAAAAGCCATTTCAGCGAACTTAATTTCGGCATATCGTTGATGAGAAGTCACCACTCACCACTCTTTTTAAAAAGCTAAAACAATACAGAGGAATACATACAATACATACACTCCAGACATCAAACAAATCGACAAATTAATAAATTTTTCATATACAGTTGGACTAAATCAATTATATTTCTTGGAATAACAATCCCATTCTTTTTTGACTGCGTTAATTCATCCCAAGCATATGTGAACCCACAACTCAAAACACAATTGACTTACATAGTTATTGAAATAAATTTTAAAATTATAAATAAAATAAAATTTTAGTTCAAATCATCATTTATTTAATCATATACTCATACAATTTCAAAACCATTTAATAAGAGATGCCGGTGTTTGTCGAAATCCAGTCCAAGTAGCTGGTGACGCGGGTGAATACAGCTGGGTAACCCTTAGCACAGCCAGCACTGGCACCATAAGAAGTCAAACCGATTTGTACACCAGTCGATTTCAACACCAATGGACCGCCAGAGTCACCGTTGCAAGTAGAAATACCGCCAGTGGTTGAGATGCAGATAACAGTGGAAGGCACTGATGAGCTGCCGTAGGTCTTGACGCACACAGAGTTGGCAACAATGGGTACATCAGCGTATTGCAATTGGTTGGTTACACTAGTGGCGGAGTCGCTAATTTTTCCCCAACCGGAAGCAATGGCGGTTTCTCCAACATATGTTGAGTAAGAGCTAGAGATTGAGGGCAATTTCACGGCTTGTACTCTGGTGGTGTAGGAAACAGATGGGATCTTGATGAGGGAGATATCGTTTTTCAGAGTGTTGGAGTTCCAGCCAGAGTGGATGATGATGTTGCTGCTTGACACGGTGTATTGCAACTCAGCGGATGTGCGGACAGTGGCGCCCAAGTAGACAGTAACGGATTGAACGCTGTGCAAAAAATGTAAAATAAATGTTTGATTAAGTTATAGAAAGGGTTAAGTTAGAAAAAAACGCCAAATGTATATATATATATAGGTTAGAAGCGAGTAAAGAAAAGCGATATTTGCAAGAACTTACCCATCGGTACAGTGAGCAGCAGTAAGTACCCAGTTGGTGCCGATCAAAGAACCACCGCACCAAGCTGAAGAAAGAGCGCTCAATTTCAATGATAGACCAACTTGATAGGGGAATTGACCAACAGAAGCGGCTTGGCCATTGGTAATACGTCCTTCGGCGGTGTCAGCCAACACAGGCATGAAGCGCTGACGTTGAACGAGCGCTGGTGAAGCGCAGGCGGTAGCCAAAAACAAAGCGAAAACAACTAGGAACTTCATGGTGAAACACTGAAGAGCTTATGATAACTTTGGTGCTGCAGTCCATCGCTTTTATAGTAAAATTGCCTAACGAATCGAGTATCGCATTGATATCAAATAATTTAGAAGTTGTAATTCAATAGGCATTATTTTGTCTAGATACCGTTCTAACGTACGCAAATATCGCGTAGCGGTAGGTAATTAAGTCTGCTAAAGTTTTGACTATATTTTCGCTTACTATATTTTATAGTAACATACTAAAATATTGGGTTTATCCAAAAGATTATTATACTTGCGCATGAGATAGTGCAGTAAAATTTAGTTCATATTAAAGATTTTGTAATTGATCGATTTATGATATATTTTCTTAACTCAAAGAAATTTTGGCTTCTTTCTCGAAAATATGGCAACAAATTCTTTGGGGGTTGATCGATTGAAGCACCGCACGGCCTTCCGATCATAGTATCCTCTACATAGCTAAAGCCAAAGGAAGGAGGCGAACCCCCTTGTGGTTGTGCGCCGTGATGCCAAAATTGTGTATGTCGATTTTTAAATGTTTGTCACTGGATCGAAAATCTTGTAACCAAATCGATGATATTCTGATGAACGGAAGACCTGAATTCATTTCTCTAAATGAGTGTACGTTCCGTTTCAAGATCAAGGATAGGTTCCCGCATCTATGCAAATAACGCCCGTCAACAAACACAAGAACGGTTTGGCTTCAAAACGCTACCATCACATCCCAGTATGTTTTCTACTCTACTTACACTCCTGCTCACTGAGAGCAGTCATCAACTGTTTGATATGAAAGAACTCTGGAATGTGCCATGACAAAAGGTTTCAAAACTGAGGCTATTTCGTGTTGGAACAAACGGAAACATACTCAGTTTAAGAGGGAGCTCTGTTGACTAAATGACAATGAAAGTCCAATACTCGAAGTCTTGACTCCGAATTCCCAATTTAATGAGGATGGAAAAGACGTTTCGTCACCCAACTGTGACGATGAATGTCAGCGATTACTCGCTCGAAGAATTGCAAAGCAGCAGGAGCTGAGTTATTCAATTACGACGGCAAAGAACTGGTATCAGCTATTTTTTTAATTATGGTTAGATGAAATCAGGCCAAGCGATTGGGACGAGAATGTGCTCTTCTCAACCCATACGAAGAACGACGACACAGTCTGTGTTCGTTGCAATGATGAGTCTGTCGTACGTACGGTGTTATCAAGCGTATTTTGTGTGAAATATTGAAGTTCGCCATCAGTGAGGGTTTAGGCCTGATTGACTAAATATACACCATAAAGCATATTTTGAAGAAAGTCAAGGAACGATACAGACCCGCAGCAGTCTTTGAAAGCAACATTCCGAAAGAAGTTTTAAACCAGTGTGAATTCGTAAACGTAGGTCTGAAGAAAATAATACGAGCTGCAGGACTAGATAGAAAAGAGCAACCCCACTATGGCTTACAAGTCACTGTAGGAATTTATAATTTTTAATTTTGGTTAAGTTCACCATAATTTGTAAGGCGTTCGTGAATGCAATGCAATTAATATTTGATCATACGCTCCTAGCTAATTTAGCCTTCTTCTTGCTTTTCTACTCATGTTTATGCAGTATCCTGTAACAAGCCTGGAATTAGTTGTAAAATCTCTTGGTATTATGGCCGAAACCCAAAATAGCCGGTCAATGTTCAAGTCCTGGTTCCACCATCACCCTAAATTATAGACAATTAAATTTTGTAACTGCGATCGCTCTTCGGCAGTGAATGTCAACCATATTGAGTACATTTCTAAAATGAAATCAAAGCTCCTTAAAAATCCTTCGGCTGCTCAGAGGCCGCTAAGAATAAACTATAGGTCACTCCATTGATTGGAAAAACTTCAGAAAGCATACCACAAAATGGACAAGAAGCTCGGCCGAATATCGCTTCAGTGGTTACAAAGCGTCCATTATATACGAGTATATGGTAGCCGCATATATATATTTCTTCTGATCTTAGTACTGCCTTTTTAGTCTGCGTAACAATTAAAGAAAAGAATTTGAATTTGCCTCATTGAATATGTCTCTTTGGTAATGATAGCTTGGTTCTAAAAGCGGTTATGCTCGCCCCGATAACTTCTATCGTATTGGAGCCATCTGTGTACTAGATCTAAGAGTGCTCTCTACTTACTTTCTGTAAAAGATATTTTTTGCCTTATGAAAACGCCACATTTCTTTTCAAACCTAAGCCTTTTCGGCTTGTAATCTCTACTATACAGTACATGAATTACTCAAAATATGAGGAGTTCGGTTAAAAGTTTATATAAATGTTAATTCTAAAATAACACTGTAGACCTACAATGTGCCATGTAGCAACGTAAAATTTTCGTTCGAAAGAAATATGTTTTTATGCATGAAAATTATGATTCAATTGAAATTGAAAATGATATTGCTGTAATAAAGCTATCAGTGCCGCTGGAATCCACAAGTACCTGGACTCGTGTATTTTTATAAGAAAATGCAATAATTCAATTTAGTTTTCGGTTCCATAACAGATTCGGCCAATTATACTTACTGAACGCGCAGTATCTGGGGCAACTTTTCAATCAAAGTTTCATTGCTTCTGGTTGGGGAATTTGATCTGATGTTGGGTTACTAGTTTTTGTTTCTACAGTCAAAGTTTGAGCTTATTTCATAAAGTAAGGAAATTTATTTGAATTAAATACCGATCATAAGAGCCTCACAACCCTCTTGACACACTGTAAGAGACTAAGTAGAATTTGACGAGTTGAAACCATAAATTCTCATTTATTTTTTGTGGTATTCCCAAGATACTGCGCCCCTATCATATCATCTCTTTCGGTCTCGGCGGTGAGCATATAAATATTTATGTATGTAAAATTCGTATATTTTGAGAACTAGTTTTGTCCAGTAACGGATGTTTTTATTGTCACGTATTATTTAACACAGTATATATAAATATTTCCATCTTATCTTGAAATCAGCCTAACCGACGAATAATACAAGTATTTTTAACACCAAAATCGCGACAGATAAGGGTGTAAGCAAATAAAAATACTTTCGAATTGAGCGGAAATGTGTACATATTTTATAGCAACAGGGTTATACAATTAAATAATTTACTACTACTACTAATACTATTTCGCAATCAACAACAACTACTACATACTACTCCTTCTTTGCTATAATCCCGGAGGATAGGTCCTACACGTATTACTACTACTTCTACTACTACTACTATTACTACTACTATTACTACTTCTACTATTACTACCACTACTACCACTGCTACAACTAATACTACTACTATTATTACTACTTCTACTATTACTACCACTACTACAACTAATACTACTACTATTAATACTACTACTACTCTTACTATTTCTACTACTACTACTACTATTTCTACTACTACTACTACTATTTCTACTACTACTACCACTACTCCTACTACTACTAATATTACTACTTCTACTACTACTACTACTATTATTACTACTACTATTACTACTACTACTAATACTACTACTATTAATACTAATACTACTACTATTACTACTACAACTAATACTACTACTATTATTACTACTACTACTATTTCTACTACTATTTCTACTACTACTACTACCACTACTCCTACTACTACTAATATTACTACTACTATTATTACCACTACTACTTTTAATACTACTACTATTATTACTACTACTACTACTACTATTTCTACTACTACTACTACTACTATTATTACTACTACTACTTATACTATTATTACTACTTCTACTACTACTGCTACTGCTTTACTTTACTTTATTTACTTTCACCCACGTCCATATTCATAACATTTGCATTTGTAAATGTACTGTTTCGTTTTTTTGTTGTGCATGCTCTGCACTCCTCCATCCGATTCCACTTTACTAAGCGTCGAATAATGTTGCATTTCTTTATGCAAATGAAAACTTAGTTTGTCTGCAATGCTTTACAGCTTTGCCTGGGTATTACTCAATGGTCTCCTGCTTTAGACTGCATTTGAAGACCCTGAAAGGTCTGAAGCAGCCGACTTCGCTAGCGGCACCAGCTCTCTGATTTTTTCCGTGAGCTTCTGGCATAAGTGTGACCTGACGATGAGAAGGTTTTCGCTGTATTTTTTTCGTGAAATTCTGTTAAACGCCTCATCCCATATACTAACAAATTTAGATTTATCACTGGAAGTTATACTTCCCCCAGTGATTCCTTAGGTTAATAGTCCTTCACTGGCCCCTTACGGGAAGGACTTCTGCTTTTAATTTGATTTAGCAACTTCATAAGTATGGAACATTTTTCTGTCTTTGAAAATTTTACGTACATTTTTAGATTAGCCCCACTGACAGTTTGTTTAATTCCCGCTGCTCGTACGCGTTGTTTGCCAAGCCACTGACAGATGTTTGTGAGAAGCTATTTCTTTCATACACTGGGAGGGCTTGACATTCTCTAAGGAGTTTTCAACGATCTCTTTTTGAAAAATCAAGTGTCTAATGATATCCCCTTAAACTAATACATCAATTATTTGACCACATTAAAGATATCAATTGTGAATCACATCTCAGTTTTCTCTTCATTTTAGACGAAATCAAAAACCTGATGTTCTACGGTGGATAACTGTGCCCCTATTAAGTAAAAGCGAATGTGCTTCATGGATTTTCGGCTCTATACGCTCAACAAATATCTGCATCGGCACCGATGACTTCAAGTCTGCATGGCATGGGGACGCCGGCGGTCCTTTGCTTTTAGTTGAAGACTTCACACATATTGGAGTTGCCGCCTATATTCTCACGGGTGACTTCGCATTTGGATTGGATTGCAGCAAATCCATGAATTGTGATTGAGTAATATGGTGTTAAAAGGTATTGAGTTAATTTTGATAATAAATTCAAATGCCCCCAAGCTTTCGGTAGACTTTATTTGAAAGATAACATAGTTGTGAGCTGAAATAGTATCGACTACGAGTTCAGTGTACGCTATCGGATAGCCAAAAGGACCAATTAAATTATAAACCTGAAGTCTGGATGGCATTACAAGTTTGCAGGAGGTGGGCTCAACAGACCTTGTCTAATGTATAAACCATTTAGTGTTTGTAATGAGACTCGTAAGATGGCTTGCAATTAAGTGTAGATTTTTTAAGAATTGGTGGCATAGTCGGTTGGTTTCGAGGGTAACTAGCTGTAAGCCCCCATTGTCTCACGTTACCATCGACTTACAGTGATATCCGCGAAAAAAAACTCCAACGAATATTAAGCTTTCAGGAAAAGTCTTGACCTCTGCCCTCGCACGTACTCTGTACAACGCTCCTTAGTGACATTTCATGAGCACAGAAATGCTAGACCCCCTGAATAAGGGAAGACGAAGGACATGTTCGCACCCTCAAAGATATGAGTCCCTGTGTTTAGTTCAAAAAACGAGATCACCTCTGAAGGCATGTGCTTCATCGTACTCCCTTAAAGTCCTACAATGGGATTGTTTGAGTGTAGAGTCAAGCAAAGAATATTTTCCACAGAGAGCTAGAGAGTAGCAAAGGTTGCTCTAGACATCTCTGCAATTGGAATACGAGTTCACTGCCACGCGCTCAGCTACAAAGGCCTTCATTCAAAAATGTTAAATCAAGTTAAGTTCCATAAAACTATAAAACGGACTGAACGCAATAAATGATTAGCATTTAAAAACAAAGTTTCCGAATAAGAAATCAGTACAAAATTTATGACCAACTGTTCGATAATCCAATGTATACGGTTACATGAATTATTGCACTAATAATATATTGATTATCACGTTATTTTATAGCCATTGCGCGCGCTAAGTGAACTCGGCTTATTTTGGTATAAAAAGCTTTGAGCCTTACGAAGGGCGTTAGTTTTTTTCTTGAATTTACAAACCTAAGATGAAGCTATTGATCACCTTCGCTGTTTGCCTTTTCGGCAGTGCTATTGCCAATGTCGATTGGTCTGATGTGAAGCCACTACATGTCGATCCAGTAGTACCATTCCATCCACGTGTATCGCATGATGTACCTGAGGGACGCATTACCAATGGCCAAGTCGCTGAGCCTAAACAATTTCCCTACCAAGTCGGTCTAAGATTGTACGTTCAAGGTGGTGCAGCCTGGTGTGGTGGTAGTTTGATCTCCGATCGTTGGGTATTGACTGCTGCGCATTGCACAGATAGCTTGTAAGTAAATATATGTGTATAAATGTTTTGCGCAATGTGTACTCGTATGCGTACAATATAAGTATATAATATTATAAATTCATAATCCAGGACTACCGGTGTTGATGTCTACTTGGGCGCCTGGGATCGTACCGATCCCACCGAAGAGAACCAGCAGATCATTTTCGTTGCTGCCAAGAATGTTATCGTACATGAAGATTGGGTATCCACATTGATAGTCAACGACATTTCACTTATCAAACTGCCCGTGGCAATTGAATTCAACGGTTCGTATTTACAATAATTCGTAAATGTAAAGCCTTCGCTAAATGTTTCCTTTCCTACACTCTAGATTACATCCAACCCATTGCTTTGCCCCAAAAGGCCTCCTCATATGACAGTTACGTTGGCAAGCAAGTGATTGCCTCCGGCTGGGGAAAAATCAGCGATGGTAAGTACTGGTTATTGGTTGAGATTGACTTTATTATTTTTGTCTAAATGATTTTGTTTTCTCAACTTCCAGACGCTACCAGTGCCACTGACTTATTACGTTGGGCTGAAGTGCCCGTTATGAGCAACTCCGGTTGCAATGTTTGGTTCTTGGGTTCAGTTAAAAGTACAAATATTTGCATCAAGACTACTGGCGGCACTTCAACTTGCAATGGTGACTCTGGTGGCCCATTGGTGTACAACGACGGTGAGAATACCATTTTGATTGGTGCCACTTCCTTTGGTATTGCTCTCGGCTGTGAGGTTGGTTGGCCAGGTGTGTTCACACGTATCACCTCATACTTGGATTGGATCGAGGAAAAAACTGGTATCGTGTACTAAGTAAATAAATTAATAAAAAACAATTTGTTTGGAAATTATTTTTTTCTTTTTGATACCAAGTATTTTTCAACTGAATTGCATTTTTTTTTGAAAGAGACTTGGTGCCTAAGGGTTGTAGTAATTTTAAATAAAAGTTGGAGTGTAATTATCAAGAGAGTTAAAATGAATCAAAAAATACAAAAATTCATTTAAGCAAAAGATATAAGTATTCTTGCTTTTTTTATACACGTATGTACTTCAGTTCAAGTGAGGGTGTAATTGCTGAAACAATGAAATCCCTTCGAAATGAGCACATGGACTTCAACGGGAAGGGGTTCAACAGTTTGAATGTTATGTTTAATGCTTCAGTGATGAGCTCTTCAGCTGACGTTAGCTACTGTCCATCGAAAGGTTTTCCAAATAATCGCTTTTTAATAAATTTTGTAGTTTTTTAGGCATTTTTTTCCTTCGAATTCCTTTCTAATTGTGGTCACCGCTCGGCAGCGAGTGGCAATCTCTTAGCGTGTAGTTTTTACATGAAAAAAATGCTCCTCATAAGAATACATCTGCAGTTCGAAGTTGGCTTGGAATAAATTGTAACTTCCTTTATTTGTTGGAAAAACATCAGCACAGACATCACATCAGCCGAAAATCGTTTCAGCGTCTACAGAGTGCCAATTACATATTAAATGGCTAAAACATCCCTGCAAGAACGGGCTGATGGGTTCAGCAATACACTCACACGGTTTCGGGCAGCACTAACACAAATGCACATTTTTTTTGTTTATTTGTACAACTACATTTAGACATTAATAACATTATTATTCAAACATTATTTGTTTCTACTTAGTTGTCTTTATACTTCAAAGGAGCTGCGATTATGACGGAGGCGTTCGTGGAGCTGTGGAGCTGCGTCACTGTTAAAGACTTCTTCCGAATACGCGGTTTTGCTTACAATATTTTGCTGATTCTTGAACCGAATTTATTGTTGTAAATAAATGTACATAATTTAAATTTAAATTTTAAATATTGAAATAAAGACTGAATCTTAATAATGTTTGTAGGTATGTATATATGTAAGGAAAATTTTTGTCAAAGCTGATTTCCTTTGACATCAATGCTGTCGCTCATATGTATACAGAACACATCCGACAAGAATGACAAAAATGCACAAGGAAACGAAGAGAGAATGACGTACATGTATATAAATGTAAACATCACGTTTGTCATTTCGGCCTTAAGAAAGTGATAGGGAAATCGTTCTACGAGCTGACGGGATATGTCGTCATGCATTCCTGACATATGTTGTCTCAAATGATCGGAAGCCTTCTTGTGGGGATGATTCAGAATCCAAGACATCTTGGAACAAATATCTTATTAACTACGAATTCCAATTTCGATTTAAAGATTTTCAACGATCTTTTCCTGCTTTTTGAGATAACTAATATATTAGTTAAAAATCTTTGTAGACGAAAAAAGTTTGACGACTTAAATAAAGGACTGAGAATCGCTTCTCCACAGATTTTGAGGCATCCACAGATTTTCAATATTTTTGGTACAATGCAGAGAAATTACATTATGGCATGCTAGTGAATTCCAAATCAAGGAAGTCTCACTTACCATCCAGGATATGACAACGTCATATTGGTCTAAAATATTTCTGGGTATGAAAGATTACCAGAATCGAATATTGAAAATAAGTTCTATCAACATATTCAGATAATTCCATGCAGCTAATTTAGAAAATTATTAGAGGAAAATCGATGAAGTGTGCGTTGCCGCAGTTCAGTAGAAAAACCACATTTCTATTCTTCATCTGTTCTTTTCGGTTGTGAAAAATGGATAATGCCAAAGAGAAATATTGCTACGAGCGAAGGCCGTCGAGCCAGAAACAGATGTTAAGTTTTACTCATTTAGGTGTAAGTCAAAAAGGCGAAACTAGAAAAAATCATTTAACTTTCAACATTTCCACTCATCAAATTTTCGAATCTTCCCTCGTAACAGTAAAAAATTTCCCATTATTTATGCAATAGATTGATTTAGTGATCCATATCTTGTGTTCTATTGTATAAATGCGACGGGATTACCCAGGATGGCTAGATATGTCATCTTTCTATGTGCTAAAAAAAAGATAATTGGAGAAGCGTTGGTCACTTAACTCAGTAGTGTTCGAGATCAAGCCAGCTGATAATGTGAATAATATTTATGATCCTAATACTGTAACAGTGAATCAGTACAATTTTGATTTCATCGATTTGGTTCTGGGAGTTTTGATGTAAAAGGTGATCCATTTTGTGGCAACCCAGTTGTCGAGAATACCGCTGAAACGCTTTTTCGGCCGAGATCCCCCTCCAATTTGTTTGCTGATGGTTTTTTTACGAGAAGCCAAAATACACTCGGAGAGGTGGAAATTACCTGTCGAGGGGCGTCCGCAATTAGAAAATTTAGCTTAATTTTTTATTTTAAATTAATTTTCCATAACTCTTTGGATGTTTTTGGCTGCATCGGGATATGAACCCTTACCTTCCGATTGTAAGTTAGCAATGCTAACCACTCGACTACCGCGGCGGCCGAAAAATTCGAAAAGGGAAGGGAAATTTCTGAGTCTGACCGTCATGCTGGCACGTTTCGATTGTCAAACATTGCACACAAAGAAGCTCGATGTATGGGTGCCACATGGGTTAACGAGAAAAACCCTTATGGACCGAATTTTCATCTGCGAATCGCTACTGAGTCGTAAGCAAGTCAAACCATTTTTGCAACGAATGATGGCTGGTGATAAAAAGTGGATCATTTACAGCAACGTTAAACGAAAACGGTCGTGATCGAAAAGCAGTGCACTGACAGGGAATCATCCAGAATGAGCTGCTCCCCTACGTCCAAGCTCTTAAATATGAGAGGAACTGTGTTTTATCAAAACAATGACTCACCATAAGCTGTGAGTGCCCGGTAGGGAGGTTTTTATGCATCCACCTTATAGTTAGGACCTCGCACCAAGTCACTACCATTGGCACATGATTTGGCTGGTGAAAAATTGGTCTCAAGAGAAATCTGTGAAAATCGATTGTGCAAGGTTTTTTATGAGACATATAGCGGTATTATGGTTAAAATTATCTATCTAATGGGTGCATATTTGACATATTCCTAAATTGCATAGTTTTTATTATGGTAAAAATATATGGAATACTTTTTACTAGACCAATACGAAAATTCCGGAATGCCGAATTAATAGCGCGTATATTCTTCAACTGAATTCGTAGAGCCATAAATGCTTCTATGGCCTTAAAAACTACTCTTTCGCCGATAGACGCAAATATAGTAAATAAATCGTTTAAAGCTTCAAGCTTTATAAATCAGTGCTTATCTTATCGAAATTATTGATAGCACCCGCCAAGCGCTCGTGCCAAACAGTCTGGAAATATAATAAATAGTCGTGATAGACGCTTCAGGATAACATTACGTTATTGATATTTTGAAAATCGGGTTTATGTCACGTATACCTACGGTGACTCAGTAGTTTTTTCTGCAATATTCTTTATCTACCGTTAGATATAATTATATTAATATCAATAAAATATAATTCCTTCGGACACTTCTAACAGTTCTTGTGTGATAAAATGGTTTTAAAGTTCCGCGATGCGGATTTTCTTTGCTACCTATCACTAAGAGTTATTATTCCAAGAAAGATAGACAAAAAATTATCATCATAGGATTTTGTATTTGCGTACGTACTTTCTACGATCTTCACAAAAATATATATTTGTATTTTCGATAAGGTTTTGGATGCGTATAACGTATAACAGTTTGTCTCTGCGGCAAACGCATATGCAACGTACGTCCCGCCCTCGTTGGATACTTCTCACGTGGCATAGTGAATTCCGGTATCTCCTCTCTACTACCGCTCCACTCTTCTTCTGTTTCCTTCGTTGCGTCCTCATTGGAATAGGTAAATCGATTGTGTTTGCGCTCATAATCCTTCAAGAGTTTCTTGAACACAATTGCATTGGATGATTCGTGCCACGATTCTATGCCCGTCTCATCACTTATCCAATCCAGATAGGAGGCGACTTTTGTAAATGCCGCCGGATAACCAAGATCACAACCATGTATGCTACCGAATGATGTGATTCCGATGAGTACACGTTTCTTCGTATATTTACGGCGCACAACTAATGGACCACCCGAGTCGCCATTACAAGTGGAACGCGCAAATTTGCCGCTCGTACAGATATTCGTGCTGCGGTATGATAGCGGAAAGCTGCGTTTACAGGTCCAACCGTCAATAATACGCAGTTTGACATAACGCAGCACACTGCTGATGGCATGTGCGCCCATGGCGTAGCGTCCCCAGCCGGAGGCAATGGCTAATTTATTTTGAAAGCTTTCATATTCATAACTGCGGCGCGGCAATGGTATTGGTTGAATGCGGTCTGCAAGCAAAAAACAAAGAGGTGTGAGGATTAATATACAACCTAGACCAAATATGCAAAGCAGTGCCGGAAATAGGGAATTTAAGGCGGTAGTCTGCTTTAGAGGCTTCAAAAAATAATTTTTTTTAAATTATTCCAAAACTCTCCAAAAATATGCCTTCGAAATTTCAGTGGCCAATGCGACATATTTTAGAAGCTAGAGCAGTTTTAGTGGCCGAGCATCGAGCAGGTTCGGATGCTCGGGCAGAGCTTTACAGCGCGTTTTCTCCAGCTCCCATTTTTACAAGTCTTACAAAATGGTGCCGGTGATAGCAGAAAGGATATATGACCGCTCGAAAGTAATCTAACTCCAGTATTTAATTATCTTTTATTTAAACTAAGAAAGCTGGGCTGGGTATTATTAAAACTTCGAAAAAATTTGTAGTTAAACAACTTCTTCGATATTTTTTAGGTTCATATAGAAGAGACACTGAAAATATTTACAAAAAAACTTGTTTTGATCTCCATCACCGGTACTGTTTCACAAGTTCAGATTGCAGCCGCTTCAGAAAACTCATCAGAACATTGGAAAATTTCAATATTTTTGTGATAATAGAAATTGTTTTTTTGAGCTTAAATACACTACATTTTTGTCTGATTATTTTGTTTACTAAAATAATTACCCTCACTTTCAAAAAAATTCACGAAAAAAGGCTAGTTTGGGGTTCTAAAGGACACTTCTATCTAAAGAAGTAAAATTAATTTTAAAAAAGAACTCCAGCCTCTAGGCAACAAATATTTTAAAGGGAAAGTTAATCGACAAATACTTTTAATCTTCACATTGTTTCAAATGCCCCACCCTTTTCTCATTCCTAAGAGATGAATATTAGTGAAGGAATCAGCGCTGAGGCAATGTCCTTTTAGTATGTAGAAAATGTCTTAGATTCAGAAAAGAACTTAATTTTATGAGCTTCTAAATTTTATCATTGACGTTGTGCCACTTGATTCGGCAGCGGATACAAGGTCAACTTATTGATATGTTGATGATAGATAGTAGTTGATGATAGAGTAGTATTTCCTCGAGCCACCCTTCATTGCAACTTGAACAGCTATTTCCGCTAAAACAAACTTTGGAGCCGAAGACTCAAAAAATTAAACCCTCATCTGCAGTGACGGTAAAGCAGCAATAAAAGTTCTAGGCTCGATCTAAAAATTTGCTGGTCTAAAGCAGATATCTGCACGATATAAGTGAATAGAACAGACTCCTAGCGAAATAGAGCTGAACCACAGGACAAATTAACTTACAGATTTTTCCAGATAAAATGTGCACTGATCTGACTCCTGCCATATAAAAACTTCTGCTAAAGAATTCATTTAGAGAGACCTTGTCTTGCTGCAAGTCGCGCCAGATTTGCCATAATGGCAAAACGGAATACACTTCAAGAGTAATTGGGATCCCGACAGGACTTTGTCCGGAAGTATGGCATGCTAAATCTGTGACAGCCTTCCCATATCTTCGAACTGTTATGATTGTCCTATTGAAAGAGAGCTCAGGTGATTGGAGTGCCTTTCAGCGCATTCACCGTTTGACAGAAACTATAGTAAGTGTTGGCCTCCCAAAATCTATAAGGGGGACCAAGCGGCTCGACATTGAGCCAAAACGTCAGATCAATCAATATTCATGACTTCACAATGGGTCTATGTGTGTCGTTTTAAAACCGTCAAACATTTTTATTTTTACCTAAACCGACCAAGCATTGTTGCAAATAACTCTCCGAGAGGAGCCCACAGTGCGACTAAGCAATTGAGGATTTTTTTTTATTGGAAATCGACGAAAAAAACCACACCCCAAAAAACTACCGCAGCTTAAGCTACACACCCGGTGCTGCAGGGATCGTAAGCCTCAATTCAATTTCTCTCTCTCTTAACTACGTAAACTCACCATTGAACTCGATGGGTATTGGCAGTCGCACTAAGGCGATATCATCTTTAAGTCGGCGAGGATTCCAGGATGGGTAAATAATGAAGTTATTATGATGAACCATTATGCGCACCTGACCCAATTCGTTGGTATTTTTAATCTCGTGTGCGCCCAAAAATACTAAGCCACGCTTAGCCCTTCGGAGGAGATAAGTTAAAAAATACCCAATGTTATGTAAATTTGTATGATTATTTTATTTTCAATTAACGTACGTACATATCAACACAATGAGCCGCCGTCAAAACATATTCATCCGAGATCAAAGCACCACCACACCAGTAGAGACCTTTCGGCCTTTGCAATAATAAACCCGCTTGATATGGAAAACTGTGACGTTGCGCAACACTGCCGCCGAAAATACGGTCCATAGCATGTTTGCTCTGCCCCGGCAGTGGCATATCTTCTTCGAGCGGATCAGCTTCTAAACTCAAGACCATGGGATCACTAGAATAATCGTCAGCGCGCTCATACATCGAGAGCAGATACATCGGTTTCACCTGACGCCAGCTGGTGGTGGCGGTATGGCGCACGACTAGGCTTGTCAATAGCAACAATTGGAGTACGGATGTTGTGCGTACTATGTGTGAAGGCATTATTATTTTTATATATATTTTTTTAGCGAGTATTTTTGTTGTTGTTCTTGTTGTTGTTATATATTTAAATACATTAAATTTTTCATAGCTGCGCGGCGAAAGGTTTTTATAGCGCAACCTTTTTTCAAACTTTCTTTTGTTGATTGTAATGCTATAATTACAGCGCGTTGTTGTTGTTGTAATGCTTTGGTTTACTGAATTTCAGTTGATTTTTGCCGAAAAAATAGCAATAATAATTTAATTTGATAAAAGCTTTTTTTTTACTCTTTGACTGTTTGCTGCACTCAACTTGCACTTGGCTAAAGAAATACATATGTTTGTATGTATGCTTGTATATATTTTAATAGTATCTATATTTGAATACGCTTACTTTTAATCACTTTGATACACTTTACACACCGAAATTGGCTACTTGAACTTTTGCACTGCGGACCGTTACTGCGCATGCGCGCATTTCGACTGAGCACCTACCGCTCTGTGGCAGCTTATTTTATAAACTCTAATTTATTATACAAACATATTTCGTTAAAGAGTATATAAATTATGGCATTGTAACTTAATATGGACTCCCTGCAAGTAGATATGACTGTCAGCAACCACAACAACAACAACAGCAACAATATCGACATAAACAAACACTTGCACTACATACGGACGTAGCCAATTTTTAAATCTCATGCCACAATTCGCTCATTTACGCGACGCAAATGAACTATATTTGTAGGCACACATATGTATGTATGTATGTGTGTATGTATGTATGTAAGTGAGAGTACACTTGCATTTTCATTTTGCTGCCCCAAAAATCTTTGTCTTATTTCAATAACTGAATGAATGAATGAATGAATGAATGAGCTACACTGAGCCGGCGTTAAGGTGTCGGGCGTCTTTGGTAGAGATATTGGTCATTGCGTCACTATGTCTGTGGTGGCTCAATTTTCGCCACAAATTGTGTTTCGATACAAACATATGTATACATACATACATACATACATACCAACATGCAGTGGGCTTTTCCTCAACACAAACGAGTTACTAATTTAATTTGCTGCCTCATTGCCTTTGCCGGTATTACAGTTGCAAATAAATATGTATGTATTAAATAATTTCAAATACATATATACATAAATGTGGCATAATTGTAATCAATAGCTACGCATATAGTGCAACTAGTTGCAAGTTCTCATCTACATTTATGTGCATACGTGTATGTATGTATGTAAACTTGTTGATCTCAAATGGCTTTTGGTGCAACATTTTTGCTTAGCGAGAGAAATAACTGCACATGAACTCGAAAATTCATTCATTACAAATAGTTTAAACTATTTAAATAGCATAGAAATACGCAAACAGGCTTGCATACATACATACATATGTATGTACAATTGGGTATGTATGTATGTACATTTGGGTGATTTGTTTTGAAATCAACATTGAAATGATGATTTTGTAGTAATTTTGACTTAACGCAAATAATATGTACATATGTATGTATGTATGTATGTACGTAAATATGTTTGCCAATGTAATATTCCGCCGGGTGCATGTTTCTCTTTAGTCTTCCGTTAGCATTTGGTGTTGGCTTTCTTTACAAATACTCATCTTACAGTATATCATTTACGTACTACATGGTTGTGCATACATACATATAGATATATGTATGAAAATAGTTGCTATTTTGCATGTAGGAAATGATAATATGCTTCAATAATTTCACTCTGAATGGCAATCCATATTTATGCCGATTCGTGGCAAAAAGGCGTTGTAGTTTATTGCTTGTCAAGATCTAAAAACAACAACAATAGCGGCATGTAAAGGTAATTTTATGGCAAATGCATATCTACACAGTATATGGTGGATGTGCAAAACCTTCAAATTACATGGATCTGCACATTCTTTAATGAGTTTCCGGCAATGCCGTAGAGACTTACCGAAATTTTGTATACAGTTACATGTGCATATACATATATTATATATAAAGTAGTATAGAAATGGCCCATTGTCTTTATGCTATTTACATGTTTTTAAACAATTTTTATGCATACATGCACGCATACTATTTTAAATACAACAAATATATTTGAAATTAATGTTGTAACAGTTATAGTTCCATGTTCTACTTACATACAAACATAATTTCCCTCCACACAAGTACTAAATACTTCCTATATTATATATATTTAAAGCACTTACATATTTTCACAAGCTTTTGGTTGCTTACATAAACCTTTTCCCGCACTATTTTTTAACTTTCACATTTTCCCAGCTGATTGTGGGAGAATTATCCAAAGTCATAAATAAAAAAAATTACACTATGCGAATTAAAATATTACAAAATGTATTTTATTATTCGGAATATATATGAATGTAGGTATGTATTTAATTATATTTAGCTTTCCATAGCTATAACATATATGCATGTTTGTTCTTCAATGAAATTCGACAGCAAACTCGTATAACAAACTGAAGGAAATCATACATGTTTTTCACAGAGCCTTAAAAACGAACAGTTTATGTATATATTTATATGAGCAATGTAGTAGCGTGGAAAACAAAACCACACATTACGATATCTCGCAACTAATTATGCGTTATTATAGATTAAAAACCTTAAATAGCCTTATGTTATACTACATATGTATGTGTATGGAAATCGTTTTTTTTATATAAAAAAAGCTTATACAAATTTTCTTTTTACAGCTAATAATAAGAGTTCCTAACATCGATTGCATAAATTTAATGACATACAAATTAAAATTGTTTACCGCAAGATAATTCATGTATATGAAAATGCAGGAGCGACAAATTAAGAATGGAAAAATGAGTTTTTAATACACAGCTAAATTTTAAAATCAAAATGCGACGAACGAAGTACATAAACGAAACATGAGATTAAAAGATTATAGCTAAAACGCAGTGATTTTGCTAGACACAAATTGTTACATCAAAATATGTCTATATTCTAGCATACGGATCGGCCTAATTAACGTATACCTGTTAAGCAAGTAGACGACGCAGCAGCGGCATTTAAACTGTTATCCGCTGTACTTGACGAATACGATAAATTTGGAAATGTATTCGATGTACAAAACAGCGACTGTTCGTTTGCTTTAACATTATTACAATGATGCACATTTCCCGCGCTTATCTCTATTGGCATGGTGTATTCAGTCTTTGTACTCGAAATATTTTCATTTTCAGTCATTATAGAAGCAACTGAAACAGCCGACAGTTCCGCCTCCATGGGCTCATCGGGCATGTTTTTATCATTGGTATCTTCTACATCAGCTTCTTCACCAATACTTTTATTCATACGGTCAATAAATTCATTTAATGAAATTTTCTTACAAACGTTTCTTCTACCAAAGATTTTTTTAATTTTTGCACGACGTTGTTTAATTAATGTTTTATTTATATTCAAACCATCTGAACAGGACAGAGTACGACGTATTTTACGCAAACCAATAAAACGTAATGGTAAATCTGCGGCAACCAACGGCGGCGCTTCACCTCGACGTGCTTCAGGTTGTGGTTCTTCGAAAATCGTCTCTAAATTGGTTGGTCGAAAACTTGTAAGTTTTTGATTGCAATAAATTTTACGTATTTCAGCCGGACGAAGCATAGAAAAATCACATGTTCTGGAGTTATGACGTTTCGGTTTCATAATGGAACGCCGTTTAAGTTTCATACTGTTTTCCTTACAGGCCCGACGCGGTAAATTGCGACGCTGCGAGAGGCTGCCACCACCATGATTGCTACTGCCGGCCCTATCAGCATCATCATCGCCGACAATGGCCGTTTCGCTGGAACTATTAAATTCAGATTCATTATCACTATCTGCAGTACTATCGTTGCTTTTACATTCGGCCATTGCTGTAACAGCACCAGCTACTTCAAAGGGCTGAGCGGCAAAGTTACTTGTGCTATAAAGTAAATGTGTGTGTGCTTATAATAGCTATTAAACGTTTTCATACCAAATTAAAAGAGTCTCACCGATTTTCGACCAAAATATCTTCGCAATTTTGTTGAAAATTTATTTTAGCGATACCAGATACAATTCTATCCATAATTTGTTAGAATTTCAGTGTGTGTACATTTCTGTTTACAACACAGCTGTCAAGCAAATTCGTTTAACTGTCAAATTTTGAGTGCCAAAAAAAACAGTTTGGAAGGCACTGTTTGTAATAATAAGTAGCTGTCACACGGTTTGGCATTATTTATTTAACTAAAAATAACAGAATTATTACATTTCTAAAAATTACACATATTTATAAAGTTCTGTTGTTGAATGCTATATATATATTGTTACGATTTTACTAAATCCCCTCGATTATTTTCTAGATCCTTCGGGTACGATCTCTGGATTGTTAAATAAAAACTCGCCAACTTAATTTGCAGTTTCTTTCGTTATAAAGATTCTATCTAATGTCCTTTATTTTCTCAGTAATTCACAATTCAATTATACTGCACTTTACTATTTATAATCACTAACATCAACTTTCACAATTTACTCTACTTAAATGTAATTCCCAACGTGTTCACTTTACGTCTTCACTGATGTTAACGCCAACGAGTTTACTTTATCACTAACTTAACTTGCAGCTGAGTGTCGCCTTTATATAGCAGTCGGCTGCTCGCAGACGAAAGCGTAGAAGCATCGAATTGTTCGCTATGGAAGGTTCTTGTTTTATCGTTTCTAGAACGTAGTAGTTATCGGCTTCTCTCTTTCATCTAACATTCGCCTCGCATTTTCGCAACAATATATATATTTTTCAAACTGAGATAAGCATTTATTTATATTATAGAAGCATTTCGTAACCTAAATCGCCGTCCATCTAAGCGTCTATTTGTACTCAAACGAGCTCCCAGTTTTTGAGGAACATTGGTCATATATTTTTCAAAAAACACTTAATATGTCATTTCCACGACAGCCCAATTACGTATTTCGCTATCTCAATCGTAATTCGCACTGCAAATACATGCTGAATCATTTAATTCGCCATATAAATTTTCGGGAGCGAATTACAGTAAAAGTGGGTAATTCATTCTCAATTGCCATGCGAATTACGACCAAATCGATGCCTTCTCTAACTCTTATCGAAATTTTATCGAAACCAGCTGACAAATCGAAACAAAAGACAGTAGAATCATTATAAAATTCGACACTAATAAAAAAACGTTGATTTGAAACCAAAGAAGAAAATTTCTATTTTTGGAAGAAACTGGCATAATATTACCAATTCAAAATTTTGTTAACTTCTACTAAAACCTTTAATTTTCCATACGATTTCAAATGGAACACATAAGCGAAACCGCAAACTGTCAAATTGCGTGCCGTGTGAATGAGGATAATTCGCGTTCGTAATTGAGAGAGCGAAACACGTAATTGGGATGTCGTGGAAATGCCGTTTAGGAGCGTGCAGTGCGATATTCTGTTTACACATCGATAATGAAAACTCCCATCACCAAATTCTTCAGATATGTATGAGGCTTTGTTTAAAACTTCGTTGGAAAATCATTCAAGAGTATGAAATTATTACACATTCGAATTGACAAATAGTCCACATACAACCGATTTAATCCTAAAATTTAATATGGTCATGAAAGGTATGAATACCTCGACATGGCCGATGACAGGCTCTTCTTTCTTTCTTTTTTTTTTTTTTTTTTGCTGAGCTTTAGGGTGACCCATGTGCTTCAACTACATCTTTCTGTGACCAAGGGATTGCATTGTATTTTTGGACGTTCTTGCTTACTTTTCCTTACATTAGAGACTGTTGCAAGGCATCTTCACAAAACCACCACCAGAACTCTTGTAAAATTTTCATATTCGCAAGGGAAATTTATAAAATTGCTTTTTAGAATTGAATTATACTTATTGATCTGTTATGTTATTCCCACATTAAGCCCTTTCACAACACGTACATATGTACATATGATAAATCAAAAATATGTAGAATGGAAAATCCCACAAATGGAAGAAAATACGAGAAGTTGAAAAATTGATGACCGTTATATAGAATCTATTCCCACAAGAGGTATCATATATCTCCAAAAGATTTCTATAAATTATTAATTGGGTTCCTATTATTCCTCTTATTATCAATAAGTAATACAGATAAATAATCAAAATTTACGATTTCTTACAACTGCCTTGGGTATCACGACTACATACATATGTATGCATGTATGCTTTATCTATGGGAATGTCCGTTGCCATAAACTGACCACACTATCTTTGAATTTGCCTATAAAATGGTTTGCGCTACTATGTCAGAAGTAATTGTTTTCAAAGCGAACCCTTCAGATTGTCGCGTACTGGCCGCAACAAAAACTTCTTTTATGTGTGTCTGTTAATTTCCTTTGTTTTGCCTAAGCTCCCTTTCACCCAAGCGTTGGCAGTGATATCTGTCGGCAAATAGTTGCATTATTTGAAGCCATGGATTGATGGCACGGTTGCATTCGGTGTGTGCCTACCCAGTGGTATAAGTCTCCAAAAGGAGGTGTTCCCCAAAACGGTTCCTCCACTAACAAATATTAGGGCAACGGTATGCTTTGCGCGGGAATTCCGTAAAAAGGGGTGTCGCCTTTTTCTTTACTGCAGCGAGGGGAAAAGTTATCCCAGTGTACTTGGTGTGCCATGGTGGCATGCGCTATACAACCCGGTCCCTTTGGGTAATGGGGGCGGCGCCAAATGATTGGGCACCAATACACACTCGCAGGAGAATTTTGAAGGCCGACGCGTAGCTTGCGGCCTGGCTCGTAAGTGCGTGCCGGATCAGATTCTTGCAATCTACAGAAGAGTGCGAACTTCTTTTTACGCAGGCGTGCGATTTACAAAAAAAAAGAAAAAAAAAAAAACAAAAAATTTGTGATATTTTTTTTTATAAATATAATAGCGTTTTGCCAGGCGAGGCAAGTGGTAGTGTAAGGGCAGTTGAAGCCTTGTAAAAAGTAGTGAAAGTTTTAAGCCAGTCGGGGCTTGTTTAAGGGCAGACGAAGCCCAGTGCAAAATAGGTTTTCTTTTATATTCCAGTGGCGGAACCAGAGTTTGGCGTCGACATCATCCGGAGGAGCACCGAAGTTGGGTACCCACACCCGACCGAGAAACTGATAAGTATCATTTCGTGTATTTATTGTTTGCGTACGTTTTGTCGTGCCGACAGTGTCACCACCCTCGTTACGTCCTTACCCATCCTTCTAGCATCCCGCACCCGGAGCCCAGTCATACAGGCGGGTTAAAGTTACCCCCGGCAGCACGGGAGTAGTGCGAGTGGGTTCGTAACCAGTTCGGTTGGACCACACCTCGGGTGCACCCCAAAAACATATTTTGTTTTATTGTTTTGAGTAGTTCGAATTTGCTGTTAAATTGTTGTCCCGCAATTTTTGTTTATCGCGTTAGGAAGTTTCGCTTGGTTTTGTTTTCTTTGCACGTAGTTTGTTGTTGTGCGTAGCTAGCGACCCACGCCGTCTTCACTAAGCTGGCCGGTCGCTTTGTTAGTTTTTGTCATCTCCTTTTTGTGCGGTAGTTTGTTTTGACGTGTGTGGTTGTTGGTAGGCGTTTGACCAACAGCCACTGTAGGTATACATATGTATGTACGTATGTACACACGCACATACATATTGTAATTACAAAAAGTGGAGGTGACAAGATCAATATGAAAGTCTTCATTGCACTAGTTTTAGCCTTTGCAGTAGCTTCGGCTTACAGCGTTCCCGACCGAACCGCTTTCGATGAACCGGCATTCATTGAGGATTTGCCTGAATCACCAGTTTTATCAGGACGCATTACAAACGGTGTCAGAGCTACAACTGGCCAATTCCCATACCAAGCTGGCTTGTCCCTTACACGCAGCACAGGCAATTACTGGTGCGGTGGTTCTCTCATCGGCTCGACTTGGATTTTAACTGCAGCTCATTGCTCCGATGGGTAAGTAAGCTTATAAAGCTTATCAATATATTTTAGTCAGCTTAATGTACTTTAATTCTTTACAGAGTGAGCAAAGTTACCGTTTATTTGGGCAGTACTGTTCGTACCTCGGCTAAAGTTAAATACACCGTAACATCCAGCTCCATCTACCAACATACCGGCTATAATAAAGATACGCTTGCCAACGATATCACCTTAATTAAGATTCCAGCTGTTTCATATACCAGTGAAATCCAAGCCATTAAATTGCCTTCGATTTCTTCTTCGTATGCCACCTATGTGGGCAGCAATGCTATCGCATCTGGTTGGGGACGTACCAGTGACAGTGAGTTTTCGAAATTGCGGAATAAATAAATATATTGAAGTTACATGAGTGCTCCTTTTTTTCAGCTTCCTCAACTTCAACATACCTGAACTACGCAAATCTTCCCATCATTGCTAACTCAGTCTGTGCTAAAACCTACGGAACAAAAGTTATTACCAGCAACTCTATTTGTGTATCTACTCCCAGCGGTGTTTCCACCTGTCAAGGTGACTCAGGCGGTCCATTGGCTTTGGAATCAAGTGGAATTCTAATTGGTGTCACTTCATTCGTATCGTCATCCGGTTGTGCTTCTGGCGCTCCAGCGGGATTTGTGCGTGTCACCAGCTATCTCACATGGATTAAGGAGAAAACTGGCATTTCATACTAGTATCTGAATATCAATTTGTTTGAAATATATACGTATGTATGTTTATTACGTATATTTCTTTAATTTCAAATACATTGTGCAGTCGTAAAAGAGCAATAAGTTCTTGTGTTTAAGAGACGGTTATTTCATTTGATCATATTTTGTTGGCTAGTATACTCAGACGCACCATCTCTGCGAGTAGCCGGACTACATCCACTATGGACGTCATGCATGATGTTGCCAGCTCTTACCCTTCGGATATGGACGCTGATGGTTGGGAGAAACTAAACCAATTTATAAATTCGAGTGAACTTCTCGCAAACACATAGTTGGGATACACGGGGCAGCATAATGCCGCGGAAACTAACCAAACAGCCAATCATATCCGAACACATTTTTTATAGATCTCCTTTCATAAAGAAATATTCGAAAGAAAATAAGTTAAAAAACTCTAATGACAGTGAAATTAGAAGTTCCTTCTTTGAACAGCTGGAATGCATCAGTCACGTTTGCCGGACTATATTAAAGGCACTGTTAGAGTAAGAGTCGTAAAACTCATTCCAGCCGATGAAACAGTTTCATAGATATGTATGTGCATTTATTTGGCGCTGAAGTAATTTTCGTAAATGGGGTCTTGATGTTTCTTCTAACCAATGAGGCACCTACAGTCAAATCCGCCGCCTTCAAAGGCTCTCCACCCTTTGTTTTATTTCATATTAGAAATTCGCTCGACGGAGCTGCAATTCATATAGAGTAGATATAACTCGATCAGCAGAAAGCAATGTGGCAAGCTGAGCAAAAAAAAATTGGTTTTTCAGCAAGTTTACTTAAAATAAACTAAGCTGTTTCAGATAAGAAAAGTACAAGCAGCCCATGCGACCGTAAAAAAATAAAGGAAATTTAATTTAATGCTAATCTAAACGATATTGATGAGAAACGATTGCTGGGCGTGCCTTCCAACAAAGCTTCAGCTTGAGGCAACGAATGATGCCATCTACCGGGCCATGGAATAGACCAAGCAAATCGAATATCAGTTCGGTGACCCTTGGCCCACTTCCGAAAATTTGTATTATTAATCCAAACCATAGGAACAATTTTTCGAATATATCCCTTTCGAATCAATCCCATAAATTTTATTAAAATCGGTTAATTCGTTTCGGATGATTATCGTGCTTGATATTGTAACACGGGATTTTTATAAATTAAAAGATACATATACACATATGTATGTATGTACACACACAAATTGCACTAAATTTTTACCGAAGAGAGGGAGACTGTACTTTGAAAGAGCCATCAATTATATTTTTTCCAAAACGACCAATTAACTACTCCTTGAATAGATTTCTTTCTTTCAAATCATTTAATATTTCCTCTCGATATTTCGGCGCCAACGTATGAAAATAACAGTTTGAGTGACACTGGTATGTGCAAGCCTGCTTAACCAATTCGTAACTTACCATTGTAGCCGAAAAGTATGCTATAGAAAGTTGTACACGATTCTTCAGTGCCTCCTCGTTTAAAATGTTTAAAATTGTTATTGTATTTTAATCTAGTTATTGTACAATAAAAATGAAATTATTTAATTTAAATTATTAAATTTGTTAAAAAGAAAATAAATTTTACTTTTAATCACTCTAAAGAGGACTTCTTGTTGTAATTACAAAATGGGAAGACCAGAAATATTGTTGGCTATTTTTCATTCACTGCATTAAAAATATATTATTACTATATTCAAAGCTAAATTAAAAGTCATAGTGCACATGTACGTAATGCCATTATCCATGATAACACTGATTTATGAACACCACCAACACCACTTACTAACAACGGATGCGGTGATAAAATTATTTATGAGCGCTATGCAATCAACTCTATCAACACCAATGGAATCAATCTTTCTCCCAAATAGCCTTATAAAAGCCGCAGCACTAATAGCCAAAATCATAGTGATTTCAGCGTCTTGAAACAATCAACATGAAGTTCTTAGTTGTCTTAGCACTCGCTGTAGCAGTGGCCTCGCCTTCATCGAGGACTTGCCTGAGTCGCCCGTTTTGGAAGGACGCATCACCAATGGAGATTACGCTTGGGATGGTTTGGCACCCTATCAGGCTGGTCTACTTTTGCAGAAGTCGCAAGGCAATTATTGGTGTGGTGGTTCATTGATTGGCCAAAATTGGGTGTTGACTGCAGCTCACTGCACCGATGGGTAATTATTTGCATTTATTCCATTTGAAGTCCTGTTAATTTCTAACACATCTTTCATCTTTCAGCACCCACACCGTCACCGTCTACTTGGGCAGCGTTGTTCGTTCTAATGGTGATCAATATGCTACGACAGTCCACGCCCAGGATATTCATCAGCATTCCAACTACAACTCCAATACTCTGGATAACGATGTTGCTCTCATCTGGATTCACTCTGTCTCCTACTCTGGCAACATTCAAGCCATCAGACTGCCATCTTTCAACTACTACAGCAACTATGAAGGTCAATGGGCTACCGCATCTGGCTGGGGCGGCACTTCGGGCAACAACCAAGATCATTTGCAGTACGTGAGTGTTCGTGTGATCTCCAACAGCGAATGTGCTGGTGTCTATGGCAGCAGCACTGTTACCGATAACACCATTTGCGTCGCTACTGATGGCGGTCGATCAACTTGCGGCGGTGACTCCGGTGGTCCTTTGGCTGTGGACAACAACCAAGTGTTGATTGGTGTGACTTCTTTCGTAGCTGCTAACGGTTGCACCGCTGGTCTGCCTGCTGGTTTCCAACGTGTCAGCCGTCACTTGGACTGGATCCGTGGTGTCACTGGCATTGCCTACTATTAAACTGTTCGACAGTGAAATAAATGAAGTTGAAATTAAAATGATTTAAAGCATAGATCTGTATTTTGAGTGTTTATTTCTGAAGTTTTATCCCAGATTTGATGTGTTTGAGCTAATTTTCGGAAATGGTTGGTGCATTGTTACTCGAAAGAGTTAATTAAGAAAAGTTTTCCTACGAAGGAAGGTGAAGATGAAGAAGATTTGAAATCAAAAGGAGCTCTTGAACCAGTCATCATTGTATGCAAATTAAGTACTTTCCTCGAATTTTTTATATTCTCTCTAATCTCTCTTTCTGAGCCTCTCCAGTAGCTGGTTGAAAGCTTAGATATATCAACTTCAAAGTCATTACATAAACTGATGCTCGTGTTCGTCTGTTAAGTGACCTGGCTCACCCGACAACCAAGCATTGGAAAGATTTGCTCTATCTTCTTTGTTAGCGAGCATCTCAATTTGTTAGGTTTTTTGAGAAATCCTCTATGGTGTCCTTAAGGTAAAAGATTACAATCTTAAGCCAGTCGAAAACGTGTATTTTTCTCTCGGAGCTATCCTTAGCGGCACGTTAGGCCTCAGCAAGAAATACCAAGTTGTATGGTAATCTGAATGGACGAAAAAAACCCATCGCTTGTGCGGCGGCTGGTCAAAGCTAAAGCTACCAAGAACTTCCAGGAAGGAGTTCAGTGATTGAACATTTCAAAACAGATGAAGAGCAAAATACGGATTTGCCATTTAATGTCTAGGGGCTTAAAACCAAGGCTGTTTGTTGCTCGTCTATAAAGATCAGAACTTTACATGCACTTTGTATTCTAGTCTCTTCGTCAACTACGTCTTACATTCACCTCGCCCTTAAGTACGATATACTTCATAGTCCAGTAGTTAACTTTTCATGTTGTGATGTGGAGGAGCTTGGCTACGAATCACGATTATAATAACATCCAGAATTATATGAAAAAATTCTATTTACCAAGAAGTGAAGGATTCTCATCAAAATGTTTCAGCCTTTTGGAAGCGACTTACAAAAATCTCCATTTTTAGAAACGCTATTCGTTGTCCCACACGCAAAATTGTAGGTGAAGCTCGACAGAACAGAACTGAAGTAATCAAATGAGTATTGCCCAAAAGTTTCATTGGACTACCTTAAAGTCTTATACCTTTTCATCGGCGTAGGAACCGCTCAAGTGATGATTATATTCGATTCAACAACAATAGCGTACAAGGTACCAAATAAAGACACTATGGGGAACCAGGCCCTTCTCCTTCTGATCTTTCCAACGGCGTGAAGGTTCTCCTCTTTCTCTCCTTTACAGGCGGAAACATAGTCGAATACTTTCAAGAGCCTTTGCACTATCTTCCACTGGAACAACATGATTTAAATCAAAACCTTTCTCTCGAAAACCTCTTGCGCCGACTCATCAGATGTTGTCGTCGTCCAGACCATCACATCTAAAGCAGGACGGTAATGGTGAGCGGCTTTTACTTTGGTGGCTTCTCATCGAGAGGAAACTTTATTTTCAACTGCCTACTCAGTTTGATAGCAGGATATATTTCGTTTCGCCCTCTTTCACCCATTCGCTTCGTTTTTTTTATCCAGTCTGGAGAGAAAATAGAAGAAGCAGCGCAGTTTCTGAGGCCAATAACGTTTATTTGCTCTGGCATTAAATTGAAGAAGTCATACACTAAGGAGGCGCCTCGTATAAAATCAAACGGCACAGTTAGTTCTTTCCCATTTCCGTAAGGTATAAAGACTCCACATATACCGGGTCGATTTAGGAATGTTAATGGTAGGATTTCATCTTTCCCACCATATGCTCGTCAAGGTCTTACACGGGATAGCGTGGAGACTTATCGGAGATACTACAGTCCGCTTTTCTGCATTCACTAACAAAGACTTTGACTTTGAAATCTTAATTGCCTTTTTCCTTTACACGCTGGGGGTTGATAAATCAAAACCGTAATTTGGTGATAAGCATAGTAAAATGAGAGCATTGAATGAATTTTTATCAATGAAAGCCGAAAATATCAATGGAAAGTAAGCAAAATTTTTAGATTCTAAATTCAATTAAAATCATAAATTATCATAATTGCCTTTCACGTATTTCTTGCGGCAAAAAGTGATATAAAAGCGCGCTACCCATTGCAGCCAGCCAATATTCGGTCAACGATGAAATTTCTTTTGATTTTCGCTTTCGTACTCAGCACCGCTACAGCGGCCGCAATTTTCGAGCAGGAGGCAGCAGAGCAAGCCAACGCTACCATTAACGGACGCATCGTGAATGGTGCCGACGCCTGGGAAGGACTATTCCCGTACCAAGCTGGTTTGACTTTGGAAAAAGATGGCAAATGGTTGTGGTGTGGTGGTGCTTTGATTGGTTCAAATTGGGTTTTAACTGCCGCGCATTGCGTTAAAGGGTAATGTATTTGAAGAGGAGGAAAAAAAAAAATATTTCTAAATTTAATGAGGAATTAATTTTAATTTTATTTATTTATACAATTTTTTTTCTCCACATTACAGCGTACAAGCAGTCACTGTCTATTTGGGTAGTGTGTCGCGTGGTAACGGTCAATTTTCCACCACAGTGCATTCGCAAGACATTCACATTCACCCGGATTACGATAGCTTAAACGATATCGCTTTGGTTTGGATCCACTCCGTCTCCTACTCTGGCAACATACAACCCATTCGATTGCCCTCCTTCAATCAATACAGTAACTACGAAGGCCAATGGGCAACACTCTCCGGTTGGGGTCACACCTATGATGGTTCGGGTCTGAATGGACATCTCAAGTATGCCACAGTGCCGATCATTTCGAATGGAGAGTGTTCTGTTTTTAACATCAATGACGGCATCATTTGTACATCGCCCGTTGAAGGTCGCGCCGCTTGCAATGGTGATTCCGGTGGTCCATTGGCTGTGGACAACAATCAAGTGTTAGTTGGTCTTGTTAGCTTTGGGGGTGGCTGTCATTCGTCTCTGCCAAATGCATTCGCACGGGTTTCTTATTACTTGGGCTGGATTCGTGACGTCACTGGTATTGCTTACTACTAAGGTGTTTGAAACAAAAATACACCAAGACATTTGTTTAAATAAAAGCAGATTATGAATTTTATTAAAAGATTTATATTTTTGTATTTATTTTGTGTGTCCTGTTGTCCATAAGCCCGGGTAAATGTTGGGCAGGCTTTTCCAGACCTTCAAAAGTCGATTCGGCCTCTTAGAATTTATTCGGGTTGGCTTAATTAATAGTTTCTTGCATAAAATAATAATTAACAGTTCTCAGGTCTACTTCCCGCAAAACCCTTTCTTATCGATAAGTTTCATGCCTCTGCATGTCTCTCCGGGGGATTGATCCGTCAGTCATACAATAAGTAAGGTCAGTACCAATAAGGGTTAATGAAGATGTGGGAAATCAAAGTATATTTATGAGGAGAAAATTACGTTAAATTGATCTTGTGTTATTCCTTCTTTTTTAGTCTAACTACATACATTTCAAGGGATTAGTGAAGAGTCGGACCCCCCAATTAAAAAAAATCTCTACTTTACCACTATCCATGAGAGTTAGGAAACTCGTTACAGTCACGTATGCAAGTTTAGGGTAAATCAACATTGGAGTAGACTGCAAGTTGGCTGGCTGCTTCACTTCCAGTAGAGTGATATTCAATTGAATGAGTGCTACCTGGCTGTCCAACCTGCCCTTGAAAACTTTATTATGGTCACGTAGACGAAACATCAAGGAACTTACTCTGGCTAGTATTTGTCCACTAGTAAAACAGGCTTATTTCACCAGAAGCCTTGCCATTTTCAGTAACACGTTGAAGGAATGGATCAGACGAAATAACCTTTAGATGTGAGCTCATTAATTTATTACTATCTGTTCTGTGTAACAAGGTTGAGGTCCTATAAGCTTTCCGCATGTTTAGCTCTTGAGCAGAGCCTTCTTAAGCCATACTAAAGTCTGCGCCGTAGTAGATTACTCAAACATTTTCTTGGGCTGAACAGACCTAACATTGAACGCCATCGTCGGAGTGCCTCCTAGTGCTCTGCTAATACAAATGATTTCCCCAGCGCATTCCACTAGACAACATCTTAATAAATAAAACCGATTCATCTATATTTTCGTAGAAAAAATGAATCAAATCACCTTTACTATTAAAACTTCTCACACCAGCCCAACAGATCCAAGAGCCGGATTGAATAACAACAAAACGATGGCCTATAGATTACAGACCGGATGATAGCATGCTTGAAGACTGGAACCCAAATGCACTCCGCCCAATACATATAAAGAGGTAAACACTCGACGACAATTTCTGGGTTAAGCCTTCGCCACCGTAATGAGTCGGCGTTAGGAGTTTTGGATAGATTTATGGTCCTCTACACGTTAGGAATAGCCGATAGAACAAGATATGCGGCGACATTGAATAGTTAGTTAGTAGAGAATCCGGAGATGACGGCTACGATGGCTATATAATGTGGTCCGAATGGATGAAGGCTCCCCACTTGATAAAGGATTAACGCTCATAAGCTATTCTGAAGCGTTTTGAAGTCTCAAAAGTACTCCTCTCCATATGTTGGAAAATCGCTTCAGCTTTGATAAAGTGTCAATTACACATAGTTATGCATTCTCAATACCACACTGGTCCCGTAATCGACCTTGATATTTTACTCCCTACGCAAAACGTCATTACCAACCCCTCTTTTCCTCTACAATATAGTAGATTTCCCTTCACACCGTCCGCCTCTAAATTGGTTGAGGAAAAATAAATGTCAACTACGAAGACTAACTTCAGTGATAACCTCTCTTAGGAATAAAAGCGAAGAGTTCTGTGTGCTCAGATCTTAAGCTGTGCGTAGCTCCTCGTACTCGTAAGACTCTTTTAGTACTTTGAATTGGGAATCCCTGAGATATTTAAGACGAGTTCTAGCTAAGAGAAGATGTTCAAATGTCTGTTTTTTGATTTCCTATATGTATCACTGCTTCACATCCACATTTTTTTTGCGTGAGACGCCAATAGGCAGAGATTCGTCATTAGGCTAACAACAACCCTGCATACCTTATGTAAGCGCTATGGCTCTTGCCATTCTCATCAGCTTGGTTATCGGCAACGACTAAGACCTTGCCTTTGAGACCTGGAACTCAGTATATATAGAGCTTCCATGCTTCTAAAGACATTTTCAGATGCAATATGATAGGAGATTATTTTCTTACTTGCCTCCTGGCCATTAACATATATATTGATAATTTTTATATAGTTTTCAGTGTTACCAGCTACCTCAGCAAGTTTTCTTATACCCACGACTTCCACCTGAAAAGCAATCTGGAAGCTTGAAGTGTCGCCTCAGCTCTAGCGCAGATTGCGGCGCGCACTCCCACAGCTACTTTTGATCCACCTATGTTGATGTTGATGACGTCCATGTACTTAATATGTGTTCTTCATGTGAAGGAATCTTGTATAATATCAACTCCTGAACCTGTCATCTAAGATCTACTGCGCGGTACCCAATAAGGATAGCTCGTTTTTTGGACCAAATTGATTTTGGTAGCCGAATTTCTTGGGTGTTCATAATAAAATTCTGAGTGTATTTTCAGTGTGTGCATAAAATTTGTACACTATAAAATTGAAAAATTTCCACTCAATTCCCCTAATTAGCAAAGCTTTTCGAATTCTTAAACAAAATTTCTCAAAATTTATGAATGAATTTGACTCGAACTCGGACTATTGGTTACTTTTTGCTATTTTTCGTTACTATACTATGATATATGCTTACAGCTTTCATTTCTGGCCTCGATAGCTTTTTCTATCAATTTATGGCATACCATATTCAGCTGAAGGCTCGACGTGCTCAAGTTAATAATTATCGATAAAACATTAAAATCAGATTTTTTAACTCAACTCGTGTGGGCACTTTTATTTCTTGAAATCTCTAGTGAAAGTTATAAATATGTTTACCGACTAATGAATATTAAACTGCAATAAAATGTTGTGGAGTCCTTGCAATTAGATAAAGAAATTTAAGCGATAATAAACCAAAAATTTAAAAGTTATTACAGGCATCCGGGATTTATACATTACATTCGAAGATTATTTATATCAAGTCTTGCCAAAAAATAATTATTTCATCCGATATTCTATGAATAAAAATAGTTATATAAATGTTCAAAAAAATAAATAAAAATATTAAAATATTTCATTTACTGGTTTTTCTTCGTGCAAAAACCTTTTTTGTCTGTGAAAACATCACATGAACAATATTAAATTAAAACCCTTTAAAATATTGAGGTCCTTGAATAATTAATTTTTTCGCTTAGGTTTCTTTAATAACTAAAACTTCTCATACCAACCTCCAACTGCCTAACCCCTTAGTAACGCTCACGCTGCTTGCGGTGATAAGTTTGATTTATGCAAACCACAAATATAATACCAACGGATGTGGCGATAAAATTATTTAAGTTTAAGCATTCGGCACATCGCGATCAGCCCTCTCGAGACGCATGAATCAATATTTTCCCTCAAAATGTCTTATAAAAGCCGCAGCACTAATACCCAAAATCATAGCGTCTTGAAACAATCAACATGAAGTTCTTAGTTGTCTTAGCACTCGCTGTAGCAGTGGCCACAGCCACACCAGTCTACGAGAAGATCGCCTTCATCGAGGACTTGCCTGAGTCGCCCGTTTTGGAAGGACGCATCACCAATGGAGATTACGCTTGGGATGGCTTGGCACCCTATCAGGCTGGTCTACTTTTGCAGAAGTCTCAGGGCAATTATTGGTGTGGTGGCTCATTGATTGGCCAAAATTGGGTGTTGTCCGCCGCTCACTGTACTGATGGGTAAATATTTGCATGTATTCCATTTGAAGTCCTGTTAATTTCTAACACATCTTTCTCTTTCAGCACCCACACCGTCACCGTCTACTTGGGCAGCGTTGTTCGTTCTAATGGTGATCAATATGCTACGACAGTCCACGCCCAGGATATTCATCAGCACTCCAACTACAACTCCAATACTCTGGATAACGATGTAGCTCTCATCTGGATTCACTCTGTCTCCTACTCTGGCAACATTCAAGCCATCAGACTGCCATCTTTCAACTACTACAGCAACTATGAAGGTCAATGGGCTACCGCATCTGGCTGGGGCGGCACTTCGGGCAACAACCAAGATCATTTGCAGTACGTGAGTGTTCGTGTGATCTCCAACAGCGAATGTGCTGGTGTCTATGGCAGCAGTACTGTTACCGATAACACCATTTGTGTTGCTACTGATGGCGGTCGCTCAACTTGCGGCGGTGACTCCGGTGGTCCTTTGGCTGTGGACAACAACCAAGTGTTGATTGGTGTGACTTCTTTCGTTGCGGCTAGCGGTTGCACTGCTGGTCTGCCAGCTGGTTTCCAACGTGTCAGCCGTCACTTGGACTGGATCCGTGGTGTCACTGGCATTGCCTACTATTAAACTGTTCGACAATGAAATAAATGAAGTTGAAATTAAAACAATTTAAAGCATAGATCTGTATTTTGAGTGTTTATTTCTGAAGTTTTATCCCAGATTTGATGTGTTTGAGCTAACTTTCGGAAATGGTTGGTGCATTGTTACTCGAAAGAGTTAATTAAGAAAAGTTATCCTACGAAGGAAGATAAGTATTTGATTTAATAGAAATCCGAGACCTTTCCAATAGCTGGTTGAATGCTTAGATTTATTCTTGTTCTCCCGCGGAAATTGGTCTTTGACACTCTTAATAAGCGGCCGGTATTAAAGTCCTCTGTGAGTTGGCTATTGTAGCACTTCGGTACGCGCCAACTGGTTTCTTTCAAGCGACATCAATAGAAAACACATACTGAATATCATATTGCTAAAAGTTCCTTGGAACTTTGTTCAAAATCTCTGTAGGGAATGAACATACGAGAGAGCTGCCAAACTGCCAAACTGGGTAAAAATACATCACTTATAGAAAACGGTTGCTTTTCTCAAAGTTATTCAAAGTTCACATACCAACATAAAAGATAGATGTTGTTGTAGCAGTTCGCTAACCCTGCTTAGGTACAGGTTTGATCAATCTAAGTCGCCGAGGTTATCTAGTGGGAGGTCCTGGAAACGAGCTGTTTCGAAGGGATTGGACGAAAGGGATAGGGGGTTAGATGAGTCGGCTTATGGGAGCATGTGAAGAGGTGGTTAATGTTGTGCGGAGACTCTCCACACGCACCTGCTATAATATCCAGATCTAAGTTGTGTCAAGGTGACCTGGGTTTCTCGAGGCAGCTCGAGCTCGTTGTCTGCAATGGGTGGTGGATCCGAGCACGCCATTCACTGGAAGGGAGTCTTTGAAGCTGTTGACGCACTCCTGGTGAATGGCGTTCAGTGCCTGTCTGTACGCCGTCCTAACCAGCGGTTGTTGTACATATTGCTGGATGGTGTTTTTTAAGACGAGTCTTCCCTTTCTGATGCTGTATGGAGGTACAGCTTCTATTAGGTGTCTATTGGGGTGCTCCCTGCGGTAACATCCCAATAGGAACTGATTGCACAGCCTTAACTCGTAGCGTAAATGCTTTACTGTGCAAGTGATGCTCCAGCAACATTAGAAGGTTTACAGTCGCAGTCTTGAGGGCGGTGTTCTGGCAAGCCTGTAACTTCCTCGTCTGCGTCTCATTCGTCCTCGGCGCCCAGATCGTTGCCAGCAAAGCTTTCTTGTCTTTACCCCAGGTGCTGCCGGCTAGCGCTTGAGCATTTGTTGTGGCTCTGGAGTTTTGCGGCAATCGCGGTCGTATGCTGAGTGAAGGAGTGCGGCGGTTTAGTGTCACTCCCAATATCTTTGGTTTGTTTACAGTCGGAAATTTTACGTAAATGCAAAATTTCATTCCTAATTATTCCACATAAAGAAGTTATAATGCAGAATATTTTTCTGAATTTGGTGAACTTTCCTTGGGGAAACAATCTATGGTTAGCTTGGAACAAAAGGATTTTACTATCCACCAGTTATTGATAACCCGCTATATCGTTTTGAGCGATTCGTTGCTATAAAAAATAAAAACAAAAATTAAGTTTTATTTTTTAATGGAAAAATTTTTTTATACATTTTTTAGAGAGCTAAGACCCTGGGTTGTTTGTATAAATTGAATACTCTTCTTACAGTACAAAGAAAAATTGTAGAAGTGAGAGCTGTTTCCGAGATTACCACATCTTCTCATCAGACTTCTTATGGCAGGGATCGAACTAAGGGATCCTTATGCGTAGAATACAATTTTTATTTTTGAAAAATATATTTATCTGATTTCAGAAAAATGAAACTCAATTTTTGAAGAAAATTTTTCAACTCAAAGTGTAATGTATATTTTTGAAGAAAAAAATAAAACTTTAAAGCAAATCGATATTTTTGATCAAAAAACTTATTCATATAAATATTATGTTAATTCTTGATAAAGAATAGAAACTTCCGAGTAATTGTTTTATGCTTTTGAGCGAAAAAAGCAAAAGTAAAATGTGATCGAAGAAGTAGATCTTAAATGTTAGTAATTAATTTGTGAACGATAAATAAAAATTTAGATTTATTATTAATTTGAATTATTATAGATATTGATCACATTTTACAGCAGAATCGCAAAGAACCTATATACAATAAATACATATGCCTCTACATATACAGGAAACGTACATGCGTGATACCTTTGATTTTTCTTTGATTTTCTTCATCGAAAAAAAAAAAACAAATATAATGTTTATTTTTGATGCCTCATTTTTGACTGCCCTACTTTTTTTAATTATTTTAATTTTAGTAAACACAAAAATCGCTTATCAAAACCAGCTACCGAGTTTGTGAATGGATTTTTTTATGAATGAATGAAAAGCAATTTTTACCACTCAGTTTGTTTACTTTGATTTACGGTAATTTATAGCGATCGATTATTGCTATCAGCTAAAATATCAATGTTATATTTATGGCGCCTTTTGAAAATTATAAACGTGTTTGATGTTAATTACATCAAAAGAGGATGCATCCTCTTAAGACTTTAAACTAGACTGCGATAACCTCAAATGATTAGATTTTTAAAAATTGCAATTTTTAAAATAAATTTTGTATCTACTACATCTGAAACTTTAAACGTGTTTTCCTTAAGACGGTATTTTCATAGTCAAATATCGCGATTACCCAGAAATGGCTCGAATCGATCGACCTAAACTCCTGGACACAACTTTCAAAGGTGATTGGTTTACAAAAGTTATATGTATATATATTATATGCGATCTAAATTGTATGGAAAGTTAACTAATATTATTAATTTAAGATATGTACTGTTTCAAGCTGCATTGATTCTGCGTGAGTTTTTCGCTAGAAATTCAATGTCTTTTATTCCACAACCACTATAAGCGTCTGGTCTGACTCCCTGTGATTTCCGTCTTTAAAGTAGTAAATTGTTTTCATCAATATCTTTATATATTTTCTCGAATTGAAAGTAATTTCTGTAGAACAAGTGACTGACGAACAAATGGTTCAATTCAAATGAACAAAATGAATTTACTCTTCGTGAAAAATAGTACTGGGTATAAAAAGAGTATTTATTTGGCAAACCATGGGCGCGCATGTTGCAAGAGCCTTAGATAAATATAAATTTATGCTCATTGCGAAAAATTGGAATGATTTGCCAAAAATTTATGAAATTAATCAGCTCACGTTTATCTTGATCGTTTCTTGTTATAATTTTAGTAGAAATATTTCTTACTTGCATTGCAGGCATGCGCCTATAAAGACCAAAGCAAAAATCAACAAAGGCACAGTACTTTCGCGGTATTAAACCAATCAATATGAAGTTCTTAGTTGTCTTAGCACTCGCTGTAGCAGTGGCCGCAGCCACACCAGTCTACGAGAAGATCGCCTTCATCGAGGACTTGCCTGAGTCGCCCGTTTTGGAAGGACGCATCACCAATGGAGATTACGCTTGGGATGGTTTGGCACCCTATCAGGCTGGTCTACTTTTGCAGAAGTCGCAAGGCAATTATTGGTGTGGTGGTTCATTGATTGGCCAAAATTGGGTGTTGACTGCAGCTCACTGCACCGATGGGTAATTATTTGCATTTATTCCATTTGAAGTCCTGTTAATTTCTAACACATCTTTCATCTTTCAGCACCCACACCGTCACCGTCTACTTGGGCAGCGTTGTTCGTTCTAATGGTGATCAATATGCTACGACAGTCCACGCCCAGGATATTCATCAGCATTCCAACTACAACTCCAATACTCTGGATAACGATGTTGCTCTCATCTGGATTCACTCTGTCTCCTACTCTGGCAACATTCAAGCCATCAGACTGCCATCTTTCAACTACTACAGCAACTATGAAGGTCAATGGGCTACCGCATCTGGCTGGGGCGGCACTTCGGGCAACAACCAAGATCATTTGCAGTACGTGAGTGTTCGTGTGATCTCCAACAGCGAATGTGCTGGTGTCTATGGCAGCAGCACTGTTACCGATAACACCATTTGTGTTGCTACTGATGGCGGTCGCTCAACTTGCGGCGGTGACTCCGGTGGTCCTTTGGCTGTGGACAACAACCAAGTGTTGATTGGTGTGACTTCCTTCGTTGCGGCTAACGGTTGCACCGCTGGTCTGCCTGCTGGTTTCCAACGTGTCAGCCGTCACCTGGATTGGATCCGTGGTGTCACCGGTATTGCTTACTATTAAATAATTTAATAAAATTGAAATCGAAAGAGTTTAAATCGTAAAAATGTTTTTTGGTTTATTAATTTTAAAACTAGCTTTAAAGATTGTTCTTATTCTCCACCGGAAGAAGTTTGACATTGATTTTTAATAAGTTCACGTTGAGTGAACAGCCCGTATTAAAGGCTTCTGTGAGTTGGGTGGTAAATTGCGTGAGAGGAATTATTTAGCTGGTTCTGTCGAGACACCTTAAAAAGAAATATATAATAAATATCACATTGCTGAGAAGTTCCTTTGACTAACAGGATAGTGATAGCTTTCTCTAAGCCTAGAATAAAAATTATAAAAATAACTCGGCCGTTCGGAAGCTTCTTAAAATGAACTGTGGGTCCCTTCATTTGTCGAAATAAAAAACATTAATTCGCACTCCATGAATTGGGGAGAAGCTCGGCCGAAAGTCCCTTCTGGTGCCACAAAACGCACATTGTCTTATGTGCATTTGTATATAAAAATCTAATGTCCGCTTGGAAAAATCAACTTTGTTATTCTTGGGAAACTTGAGTAAATAAAATTATGAAGAAAAGATATCCCATTTCTATGTTTTCAAACATTCAATGAGTGTGTGCTAAAGTAAAGCGTTCCAGGGTACTACTAACGTATATACGAAATTAAGTGCGCGGATGTATTCCGAATGTTGACTGTGGCATACGGAGAAGCTACCTTGGACCGAAGTAACGTTTATCGGTGGTACAAAATGTTCTCAGAAGGCCGAGAAGATGTGAACGACGAAGACCGTGCAGGACGCCCGAGCTCTTCAACAACAGACGAAAAAATTATTTGCAGGGGCATGGTGCATCATGAGTTCTTGCCACAGGGAAGAGCGGTCTATAAGGAATATTACCTGCAAGTAATGCGCAATTTGCGCGAAGCAATCCGCCAGAAACGCCCGGATTTGTGGAAAAACAAAAATTGGCTTTTGCACCACGATAACGCCCCTGCTCACACATCGTTGCTTGTGCGCGACTTTTTGGCCAAATACACTAATGATGCCGCAGCCACCGTATTCCCCAGATCTGGCCCCCTGTGACTTTTTCTTGTTCCCTAAACTGAAGAGGCCCATGAAAGGACGACGTTACGCTATGATTGACGAGATAAAGACGGCATCGAAGGAGGAGCTGAACAAGATAAGTGCTTCGAAGATTGGAAAAACCATTGGCACAATTGTATAATATCTCATGGGAATTACTTTGAAGGGGACAAAATAGATATTCATGAATAAATAAATAATTTTTGAAAAAACACAAAATTTGCGATATTCGATTATTGGATAGAATTACCGTGAAATTTTTTTCCTGCATTGAGTTTTTGACTCAGCGGATCTAAAAAAGGAAATAAATAAAGAAAACACGCAAAAAAGGCATTTAGTATATAAATTATAGAAACCCACCAACTTAGTAAAAACATTATTCGTAATGGAATTGTCAACAGTTCATAGAGTTGTTGCCTGATATTTCTGCTAATTTCTTCCACTATTATTCGACAGCTCTACAGTGACTTGATCTAGGTTACTTTAAGGTTCAGCAAACACATCTACTCACCAATTAAAAACCATCTACCGAATTTGTGAATGAACATTTTTATGAATGAATGAAAAGCAATTTTTACCACTCAGTTTGTTTACTTTGATTTACGGTAATTTATAGCGATCGATTATTGCAATCAGCTAAATATCAATGTTATATTTATGGCGCCTTTTGAAAATCATAAACGTGTTTGATGTTAATTACATCAAAAGAGGATGCATCCTCTTAAGACTTTAAATTAGACTGCGATAACGTTGACCGATTAAATTATAAAAAATTGTATTTTCAATTTTAAATCGCCCTTGAAAATAATTCTGTACTACACTCAATAATATCACAATATTTCGTGCATATTTACAGATTCCCTAAATTTGTAGAGGTACGGCAAAATGTCAGAAACTACCACTGAAACGAGTTTTTCTCAAAACATTACTTCCAATACCGGGATCTCGATTACTTAGAAAAAACTTGAACCGATCGGCCTCATATTTTTACACCTTCTTCTTGGTTATATTCCTAATGCATTGGCTAGCGTTGCGTACTGTTATTTGGAAGGCCAGGCTTCGGCTCCGGTCAATATCCAAAAATTATAGAAAATAAATTTAAATAGAAACTTAAGTTAAATTTACTAATTGCGGTCGCCCCTCGGCAGGGCTGGTCAACCCAGCCGGGTGCATTTCTGCTATGAAATGTAGATGTTTTTCGAAAAACAGCAAAACGACACCATAAATTCGAGAAGGATCTCGACCGTTAATCGATTTATTGGTTATAAAGCGCAAACAACAATATATATATATATATATATATATATATAAGAATAAGATTAAAAAAAAATATATTGGATTTTATTTTTATTTCGAAGTAAAAAATTGAGTTCTAAAACTTTTTTCAAGTGAATGCCGTTCTGTTAAAAATCTAAATTTGTTAATGTCTAGTAATCTATTCTGTTTGATTAAAATTTTAGGTTTTATTATAGTTAGATTTATGTCCAACAACTGAAGACCATTCTAAGGATAATGCCATTAGCTCTATTTTATATGTGTACACCCAATTCTTCACTGGCCAAATAATTCGCGATAGACAAAAACATATGGTAATCACTTGGTGCGACGTTCGGTGTATGCGTTACAACAGCGCTACTAAGCTCTTATAGCTTCTGGCATGTCGCTATAGATGTGTTTAGTCTGGCGTTATCATAAAGCACAATTCTCCATTGCCCTCCAGTTCTCCAAAGCAGGACGCTTTTGTGCAATTGTATCTTTAAGACGCTTCAGGTTGGAACTGAAAGTTTGGCCGCTCGTAGTGGATGATTTTTTGCCGATCCCACCAAACAGACAAAAAACCTTCTTGGTCGTAAAACCTGACTGGGAGACCGCTTGTGTCAGCTTACTGGTCTTCAACTACTACAGTGCTTTACTTGACGTTGCTGTAAGTGATCTATTGTTCATCGCCAGTCATCATCCGCTTCAGATTTTGGTACGATTCAGCAACGATTCGCAGATGAATATTCGATCTGTGAGGATATCTCTCATTAACTTATGTGACACCAATATATATATGCAGCTTCTTTGTGTATCCAGTCTTTTTCATTTTGAATACAATTCCGGTATTTATTAGGCGCTCAATATTAATTAGTACGGAGCGAAATAATTTAAGGTGTAGAATTTTCAAAAATAATGAAAACTCAGTTTTTTTTTAATAAATTAGAACGCAGTAAGTTTTTTTGGGATGAGTGTGAATAGGGTGAAATTATTCTCGGATATTGTTTGTATATTCCGACTAAGCCTATTTCATGAAATATAAGCATAAAAAATAGGTTCCAACGTTTTCAAAATTTCTAAAATTATTTTTCGGCTTATCAATTTACTCGTCATATGTTCCCTTTATAACAGGTCCGAGTGAACATTACAAACTTTCTCAATGTCTTTAAATATTTGCGGCAGATAAATAAAATTTTTGTAATTAGAAGTTTTGCCGTGCAAGTAACCCGTTTCCGATACACAGAACTAATTTACCCTCTATAACATGTAGCACTGGGTATAAAAACCTTAAGTGCGCAAAGTGCACTTGCTTCAGATAAAACTAATTTATGCTCATTGCGATATTTAAGAATGATTTGCCAAAAATTTATGTTTTTAATCAGTTTAGATTTATCTTGATCGTTTCTTGTTATAATTTTAGTAGAAATATTTCTTACTTGCATTGCAGGCATGCGCCTATAAAAACCAAAGCAAAAATCAACAAGCACAGTACTTTCGCGGTATTAAACCAATCAATATGAAGTTCTTAGTTGTCTTAGCTCTCGCTGTAGCAATGGCCACAGCCACACCAGTCTACGAGAAGATCGCCTTCATCGAGGACTTGCCTGAGTCGCCCGTTTTGGAAGGACGCATCACCAATGGAGATTACGCTTGGGATGGCTTGGCACCCTATCAGGCTGGTCTACTTTTGCAGAAGTCGCAAGGCAATTATTGGTGTGGTGGCTCATTGATTGGCCAAAATTGGGTGTTGACCGCAGCTCACTGCACTGATGGGTAATTATTTGCATTTATTCCATTTGAAGTCCTGTTTCTAACACATCTTTCATCTTTCAGCACCCACACCGTCACCGTCTACTTGGGTAGCGTTGTTCGTTCTAATGGTGATCAATATGCTACGACAGTCCACTCCCAGGACATCCATCAGCACTCCAATTACAACTCCAATACTCTGGATAACGATGTTGCTCTCATCTGGATTCACTCTGTCTCCTACTCTGGCAACATTCAAGCCATCAGACTGCCATCTTTCAACTACTACAGCAACTATGAAGGTCAGTGGGCTACCGCATCTGGCTGGGGCGGCACTTCGGGCAACAACCAAGATCATTTGCAGTACGTGAGTGTTCGTGTGATCTCCAACAGCGAATGTGCTGGTGTCTATGGCAGCAGCACTGTTACCGATAACACCATTTGTGTCGCTACTGATGGCGGTCGCTCAACTTGCGGCGGTGACTCCGGTGGTCCTTTGGCTGTGGACAACAACCAAGTGTTGATTGGTGTAACTTCTTTCGTTGCTGCTAACGGTTGCACCGCTGGTCTGCCTGCTGGTTTCCAACGTGTCAGCCGTCACTTGGACTGGATACGTGGAGTCACCGGTATAGCTTACTACTAAGTTTTTTGTTGGTGAAAGTTATATAATTACAAACAAGATGCATTTGTTGATTTTGAAAATTTATTAAAATAAATGACTGTAAAATATTTACGGATTGTTTAAGCTTTTGTTGTCTGCGGCATTAGATTTATAAAAATAGGCTCATATCATGTAACGGTCATGTAACGCAGAGGGCCTTTATGTGCCTTGTAAGTGTGTTGGAGTACACGCAATGAGCAGTGAAACTATGTAGGCAATGCACGAATTCACTCACAACATTGTTGTTCACTTTTATGAGAAAGCTTACAGATAACCCTGTAGGAAAATGAGAGCGTGAAAGAATATTTTTTTTATAGAGCTACTTGTTTGTGCCATCAACATCCAATTGGCAGCAACTTAAGAGCAAATAAAACCTTTGTCTCCTTAAGCTTTCTGCTACACATACAGTCACATGCCCTCAGTACGTCTGTATGCATCTAGTTATGCACAGGAGTGAGTTCTTTTTTGTTTACTTTTGTATGATTTTCTTACATTTTCACACTTATACACACACAAACGCTTGCTGACAACATAAGTTCTCACATATGACAGTGTGTTCGTGTGTGTATGTGTGACCGTGAGGTGTATTTTACATGCTTCCTTTCTTGTGTAAGGGTAAATTGTTTTTATGTGCTAATATGTCTGTATTGTTGTATTTTTTCTTGTCTGCCTTTGTCTCAATTTTAGCATTACTGTTAAGTGTTTGTTTTTGTATGCCCAGCACGTAAAATGATTTGATTTCAATTTTCCAGATTCAGCTTGTGTCAAATGATAATGATTTCGTATTTCCAACTCATTTCACTAAAGGCCTACAATTTTCTTGTTTTCTTTTTTTGTTCTCAGACGAAATTTTGTGAATTTTTGTTTTACTATACACTTTAATATACCTTGTGGGCGGGGATTGACTTTCGTAGGTGGCTTAGAGATTGTAGATGAAAGTGGCTTGATATGTGTGTGTGATAGGCGATGCAATGTTATGAATATTAAACAGCAGCGATGTTTTAATAAAATTTTATGTTTGTCTAAAATAATGTGAGAAGGTCTTTATTTCGTGGTAATGTCATTTAAAAAAATTAAAAAAAAATTTAGAATTATATATATATATGTATAAAATAAAGTAGCACACCAAACAACACACTTCTAAGGCTTTCAGGATATTTCTAAATTTTTGTTGTAATTGGTATTGCCAACAACAAGTTTCTGGTCCATTTTCAGGAAACAAAAGCATTCAATTTAAGCCTATCGAACTAAAACGAATAATGAATGTGGATACATTTTCGCATTGATTGATCAACTTCTCGCAAGAATAACAAAAAAAAAAAATTATGAATACTATTTTTTTGGAAAAAATCTTTATATACCGAATTTCGAGTAAATCGAACCATTAATATAATCATTCCGAATATGTCGGTACCTGATCCACTCCCCGATAAGCAGAGAAGTTCTCCTGATAATCTAATCAAAACGTCACCACTGTACTAAACTAGCAAGGGAAGGATCCCTTCTACCCACCATAAAGCATATACATGATGCTGGTTAACCTCTGTCCACGGAAGCCGAAGCTGGACGCTAGACCGGTCTCCATTAGTATAACGACGGGCATAATAACTGGACACTGTTTAATGGGGTTGATGGGAAAATAATGGGATATCATTCTAATGATTTCTGCTCCAGCTGCAGGGATGAAGAAGAGGAGGGGACCATCGAGCGCGATACAAGTTTCTTGGAAAACATTTCTTCGATTGTCTCGCTGAGATAGCATCAGCGAATATTGGATATCTCGTTGCCTTCATAAGGCACACGAAATGGTTAGGTCATCTGAGAAGGTGAAGGCAGGAGCCTCAGCGGTATCACAATGGGCCTATTTTCCTGACAGAAGCAACCGCATCAACTCAACTTAACTCACCTCTGTAAAACCATAAGTACGATTTCTGTAATAACTCACTGCCTGGTCCACTTCTCGAAAAAATGTTTTCGTACAAACTTTTCCACGAACCATATCAACCAATTCAAGGCAATCGGTTGATAACTTTTCGAGATACGCATATATTAGCAAAGCATGTATAATTTTTATTCAGGTGTAGTAAAAAGTAATCCATTATTTTTCCATAAAACTGAATTTTATATTTTTTCTTTTTGCTTTCAAATGATTCCAACCGGTTTTTGTGCAATCTTTAGCTCTTGGGCAATCAAAACAGTGCTTACATGAAGGTCGGCTCGACAATGTCCATGATTTTATCGACATTTTAGACAATTGGTCTTCCACTCCGTGAGGCATCTTTTATACCAAAATTAACGGAAACCGAAATTATGTTTGACTTACTGTAACAGTATCACACATATTCACATTTCCAGCCACCTGGCTGACGTTTTCGCCCTCATCGAAGAAGAACTGTGAACTATAGCGTATTTTCTTTTTGCTAGTGTCCAGCTTTGGCGTACGCGCAAAGAAAACTGAATCAACCAAACACGAAACTGTCGTTTTTAGTATTTTTAGTACGAAATGCCATCTACCGGTACTAGATCAAACCTATACAATGCGAGATACTGAAAATTAAAACCTCATATTTTTGAAAAATAATGGATTACATTTTACTTCATCTAATACTGAATTGATATTTACTACAATACTTAATTTCTTGGGGAATAAATAGTTTAATAATAAAAAAAGACAATTTATTTTTTGTCCAAAACTGTTTTCATAAAACCTCAATGCAACCTCCACCTATTATATTAATTTTTTTTCGAGAAGTTTTTCTTTCTTTTTTTTAGAGTATAAAACTCTTCTGATGCTTAGGAATACCCCTGCCTACTTTTCTAGAACTTTTTGAACTTCTAAGCCCCTTTTAACCAGTCGTAAAAAAAGTGTTCAAGCCAACTTTAGAAAATCCCTTGAGTATTTTAATACTATCAGTAAATTAAAAAAAAGTATGTTAAACAAATTTTTTCAAATTTTGCTTAAATACTTGAATGAAATGCTAAGAATCCCTTTGAATATTCTCTAATTTTTTTTGTTAATCTTTAGGTATGCCGCGCATGGCAAAACAACCTATCGGCTGAGCATCGCTCAAGAATAGTTGAATAAGGTCAATAATAACTGTGATTTGCTTATAGGGTTAGGGGTGAGAGCAGACATGAAATGACGATAATCATTAATATATAAAAAGATCAACTAGTTAACACACTTTCTTTTAACCCCATAAGTAGCAGAAGAGGAAGAGTTAGACCTATACAACTGTATACGGCTGAAATGAGATTAATAAGTTGATTTGATTTAGCCATGCATGACCATGACATGTGGCATTCCACATTCGTATCCACGAATAAATACCAACACATAAAATAATCGAAATCGGAAAATTTCATCATACAGCTTTAAGGGGTTACATAGGTCTTGAAGGCTAAAAAAAGGCTATTTTCTCTATTTTTTTTTTCAAAAGATACTAAATAAAGTATACAATTTATTTTGTTTACATATAGAAAAAGTAAAATATGTGGACAACATTTGATGAGAATTTGAATGAGAAATAGTATAAGTTAAGGCGTTGGCAGTCTCGTGAAGTAGACCGTCCACAAGAAAGTACTTTCGCGGCAATCATGATAACTTTTTCAATTTTCATTTGAAGTGAATTAAAAATTGAAATTTTCGTAGCGTTTTTTTTACAAAAAAAAAACTAAGTTTTTTGCATTATATCAGACCACATATTGGCTTGTAAAATGAGTTGAAATCGAAAATAAAATGAGTTGAAATCCAATTAATGTTTTATTATAGGTCAAGCCAAGACAAAGACGGCGGGTTATAAAATTCTCTAATTTTCTACAGTTTTGTCTCGATCGACTTGAAACTTGGGGAAAATATTCCTGACTTATATACAAAAAAAATTATCAAAAAAAATGAATTTTTTGACGTTTGAAACCTATGTAACCCCTCACTTCCTTATATATAACATTTTATTAATTTTAATAATGGAAAATAACTTTATCGATATAAAGAAGAAAATTTGATTGTGTAAATTTTTTTTCTACAGACGTAAATCCTTGCTTTAAAAAACCTTAAAAAAATGGAATTATAATTTTTATTACACCCTCAAACATTGCACACTTGGCGCTTCACATTCCCCCACGTATTTAACACATCAAAGTCTCATCATGCGGCGCTGGAGTGTATGAGTGTACAAGTGGTTCTGGCAGTCAGTCAGTGAGCTTGTTGGCTTTGTGGAGTTTCCTTTACACGCAAATCGATTTGTAGAAAGGAATAGTGAAAGCCATAAAATCGGAAAATTTGCAATTCGTATTGGCGTACATGAGTTAAATCTATAAAAAAGCATTTTCACACTTATGGCAGCCCCAAGTTGCTCTATTCCTGTAGGTTTACCTATTTTCTCTTCAATTTTTTCCTTTTTCGCCCGCATTGAAGAATTTTATGGCAACTATGAAAGCATGAAGACCAAGTCGAATGCGCTGCAGTCGAGTTGTAATGCAGTTCGCGAATGAAAGTTTTTTGTTTTTGTAACATTCGCTGAATCCCACTGCATTTGTTGGTATCCTCTTTAGTTGGGCTTTTGTACGTAGTTTTGCTGGTTGTTGTAGTTGCCTTGATTGTTGCGTGGCGCGCGTGAAATTTTCTCCCTTTGATGATGTCAATCAACCTTTGGCGTTAAAGTTAGCTGGGTATTTTTTCTGTAGACTCTATTTTTTCTAGCTTTCGAGCTGTTGATGTTGCTGGTAGGCTTCATTTACGTGTTGGTTGTTTGATTTATGGCTTTCGTAGTTTTTTACTACATGCTGTTGTTTGCTGTGGAAAAATTATTGGATAATTATTATTCTCTTATTTATCCCTATCAACTGTATTGGAAAATAATTCAAAATGAACACTTGTTTTTTAATCCAAAGTTATTACGCTCGTTTTTTTTTGCGGTCGAATGACGTTGGATAGCGTTGAAACGGCGATATTTTGTACCAGAAAAGTTAATGGGAGACACGATGATAT